CACAAGTTGAGCAATTTATTTCGCGGAAAAGGTCAGTCCAAAATTTTTATTTTTATTTAATTTTTTGGGCAGTTAAAATCTCTGGTTATTGCGCAATTTGAAAAATGTGTCCGGTTTTTTGCACAACGGTATATTTTCTTTTTGCCTGCCACTTGTTGTCAAAGTGGTTGGCAAAAAAAAAATGCATAAAAAACTGGCCAGAAATTATACTGAAAATTGCTATTAAAAACGCGTACGAAATACAACAAGACGACAAACGATGTCGTCGCGGAAAACTGCATGAATGAATGAGTGTGTGAGTGAGTGTGTGAGTGAGTGTGTGTGTGAGTGTGTGTTTGAGTAGCTAGCAGAGAGTGAAAGCCAAGTAAGCTACTTTACGGCTGACTTACATTGTGAATTGTGAATGCTTGTTTGGAATGCGACTTCCTGTGGTGCCACCGGCAAAGTAAAGTGGCTGCATCTTCAGCCACATCTCCCACCGGGCAACAGTTGCACATCCCAGACACATCAGCGGGTTGGAGCAACGGCAACAGCTCATTTCCTATTCATGAGTCAGCTGAGCGTATAAATGACCACCCCAACCAATTCCCCCCCAACCTTTCTAATGAGCTACAAAATGAACGCGCCAATAAATTCTGACACGCCACCAAAAATTGAAAAACTAACACAAAAAAGAGACGAAACTAAATCAACAAGAGCTATTTTCATTGTGCTGTTAATATAATACCCTTTCAGTCTTCTATTTTCAATGTGCTGGCAATTTAATACCTTTCAAAATACATCTAGTTTTTGTCTTCTAAAAGGGGCATAAATTTACTTTCTAGTTGTTCTTTTGACAAGCTATTCTGAATTTGTTAAATCTAGCCAAATTCGCTAAGCATTTTTGGTTGTATATTAAAGTTAATATTACCATATTAACTAAAAATTTAATAATAGAAAAATATATCTAAGAAAATCGATGTTTTTATATAACGTTTTCATTTTCGACCAATGATTGATCGAATTTTGTGAAATTACATTTCGATGTCTACAACAAATATTATTTCCAAGTTGTTTCAACCATTAAAAAAATAATTAATATTGTAATTAAATAATGATTTATGTATTGGCAGCAAATCAGCTTTAGATTAATCCTTTCAATGTCAGCTTGTCATAATCGCCTAGGTCATTTAAATCGCAATCTCTGTGCTCATTTACATATTATATGTTGCATAATATATCCTTATCTATTTGAATGAGCTTACTCTGTGCGTTGGACATTTCCTTTGCAAGTTAAAACAGAGTAAATTTGCTTTTCCTATTAGTAGTTTAATAAACTGTTTCTTATCCAATCTTGATGTAATAGAATTTTGCAGTTTGCTCAAATATATATCATGGAATAAATTATATTTAAATTAAAGGCCGAAAAGGAGGAGTTATCGATAGATGAATATAAACAAAGCCTTTCTAAGTCGACTCAACTGTTGATTTTAGACATACTTTATATAAACTTGATCGGTTCGTTTAGTTACATAATGTTGTATAACTTTATTATACCCATTTTCCATGGGTTGAGGGTATAAACGTTGCCTGTGAACGCTATTAACCACATAAGGTGTGTGTCTATGTGGGTGGGCGCGTCGGGTTGGGGTGTTTAAGAACTCGCGTGTGTCGCTGCGGCCCGTTTAATGTCAGGCAGACAAACAAGCCAATAACAATAACAATACCTATAACAAAATACAAATACAAATTGTAAATACATACTTACCTCCACATGACTATGACTAACACGCCTCTCCAACGACGATGCCCGGGAGAATGAGCAATGGGGCCATTTAGTCAGAGCTGGAATACTTTAAGACACAAAATTCTCATTAAAAACTAACAATAACTGAGAAAGTGCTAAATTACCCATGTAAATTTCGGTGTTCAGATTGTGTTTAATAGTTTACAGAAAAGAAAATGTGATTAATCGATGGTGTTGATTTAATAATTGTATTTACTTAATCGATGATTTATTAATTGTATTTACTTGGTCAGGCATCTTGTATTAAGCAGACTATTTATTAATTAATTCGTTTTCATAAAAACATATTTGAAAATAAATGCTTTTTGTTCATTTAAAATTTGATATCAAATTAAAATGATTTCAAATAGTAGAACAATTTTATTAAATAAACTTAATATTATCATAGACTTTTTTTTTGTAATGATAATTGAATTAGTTCTAATTAAGTTTTTTCTACTATTCTTTCTGTGTTTCTTTTACATATATTTCTTATAGTTTCCTTTCACACTACTCAAAATACAACATTTTGATTCCAAATCTTTTTTTCACTTTTAAAATCATAATATTTGTGATATTTATTGATGAACTACTTTGACAATGCTGGCATAAATATTGAAACTTTCTCGAAATGCCAAGCACATAATCCATGTTAAATTTCTTACCTTTTACGATTGCTTGAAAGTAAACAAAATATTTATGGTAAAATCATGAAACAAAAAACTTTCGCAGTTGAGTCAAAATAAACACAAGAATTTCAATGTTTATTGATCAGCTTCGTTCAGCGCTCCAAATGCCTTTCAGCTGGCGCAAATATTTGAACTCGAGCAAATTCCAGACACTCGACCTCGCTAGCAACATATATATATATATATATGTATATATATATATAAATATGTATAAATATGTATATATATATACATACCTACATAAATAGATACATTTTTATTTTTATGTATTTGCAATTGGAACGCACCGCGTTCAGCTTTGGGCTAGACACAACTATGCAACTCCTGCCTGTTGGCAAGGCGCGCAGCTGATTAGCAACCTACAACAAACCCACCTTTTCCCCCAACACCCCCTCTCCCCCTCCCCGCCCCGCTTTTCGGGAATTAGCCCATCCACCCGCAACAGAGCACCACAACAAAGGTCCTGTGAATTGTGTTCGGCTTCGTTCTTGTCGGCGTTTTCTGCTATCCTGTTGAAAAATCAGGGAAATCTATTTATTGATGTTTTTCGCCAAGCTGAAACTGCGGTGCAACGGGGAGCTGTTGCTGCTGCTGTTGCTGCTACTGTTGCTGCTTCTTTCCTTGGCAACAGGGCGGACTTGTGACGTCAACAGCATAGCGACCCCTACACTGGCAAGGAGAGCGTCGAAAGCTTTTAAGCTTTGGCGTTTGAGCTTTTTCTTTCTTTTTATGTTTGTGTTTGTGTGTATTGCTCGAAACATGTCATGTGGGGTCGGTCCTGTGCTGTTGACGACGAGGACGTCATTGCTCCTGTTTTCGATGGCTCCTGTTGCGCGCTCCTGCACGTCACCTTTTCATCCTTGCTGTGCGCCTGTTGTTTTGAGGCGGAGTATTTGAGTTAGAGTTGTTGAATGGCGCGCTTCGCTTTGCTCCCCCATTCCCCCGGCCAACCCCAACCCCCCACAGCACAGTACAGCACAACTCAAACTCACTTTGGCACCACACAGCATCCCCCGTGTCCTGGAGAAATTTGCAAAGTGGAGTCGCTTGTCTGATGGGGGGCTTGAGTGGGTTGAGTCGACTGGAGGACGGGGCGGGGTGGGGTCGTTGGAGTCTAAGCCAAGAAGTTGAATGTCTTAGACGTTGCTGCGGCCATCTTGCCGCTACTCGGCTTGTTTTTTTTTGTTTTGGGGGGACCATCTGTGTGTGCGTGTTTTTCCATTGCCCGTGAAGCGGCCATTTTCTCCATGGAGCCAATTAGCACCAGGCGAACAGCAAGCGCATAGACAGCTCACAGTTGCCATTTGGGTGATTTTCCAGCGCGACCTCGGCGGCGATGACAGCGCTGCTCCTACGCTTGCCCCTGAAATGTGATACTCACACACACACATGCAGAGAGTGTGTATACGTGTGGCATGTGGCATGTGGCAGCCAATAGCACACGCAGCTTCCATCGAGCTTTGGCCTTGTCCACGTGCTCACAGCACCAACAGCAGCAGCAAAAGCAGCACCAGCTGTGGCAACAGTTTTGTCCGCAGGTCAAGGCAATGCAACAATAAAACATGCCACACGAGCAACCAACTGCAGACTCCTTGTACACTTAAACAAAACAAAAAAGGAGAACAGAAGAGGGGAACAATTATTCAGCTCACATTATTCAAATTGAATATATTTTTTAAAAATAAAGAAATATGTATCTTAAAATGACATCATTTTACTCACTGCCACACGTGAAAGCAAATATTTTCAACTGGTATACAAAACACGTAATATAAATGTGATGTGAGCTGTTTTCTATAAAGGCACAAACAAGCGAATGTGTTTGTGATAATTTTAGAACCTGGACGCTATACACAAAATATATAACATTAAAACTAAAATGCTGGTTGAAATAGTAAACTCGGTCAATTGTTTGTGCTGTCATTTCCTTTATTAATTTATGCTTATTATTATTATTATTATTTAGTTAAGCACACAATTGGAATACCCGCAGAAAAGTAGTATTTGGTAATGTGGCCTAAGATTTCTGTCCGTGTACAAATGCTGCAAGCTGCAAATTTGTGCAGTGGGATTGCCCTTAATTTGAGGTTTGGGGTTTTTGGGTTATGTGTGTGTGTGTGTGGGCCGGTTGCAGGAACAAAAGCTTTCGCTTTCGATGCATGCAGCCAGCCAGGATGAAACAATGGATGCGTTTTTGCATGTCGCCAGCTAACGCTACCAGTTCGTTCGTGCCGCACAAATTTAGGTCACTTGTCGCCCCAATGGCGCGACATTGCATAAGCCCAGCGCATGCCACCCATTTGAGGCGTCTCACTCGCACTCGCATTCTCTGTGTTTGTCCATCTCTCTCTCGCTGTGTCACTCTCTCTATCTATCTATCTGGTGTGATGTTGCAACACAAACGAGGAAGCCTAAAATAGTAAAAATCGCAAAAACGCAGCCGCATTACGTTGGCTTGGTCGCCGCAGCACTCGTTGCTGCTGCTGGTAATCGATTGCAAACGGCCAGCCAGCCAGCCAGCCAGTTATAGTCCAAGTCCCGAGTCTAGTCCGGCAAGCTGGCCGGGCCAGTTTGAAGCCATAAGTCGCATTGATAAGAACACCGAGCTGAACACACAAAAAAAAAAAAGAAAAAAGCAAAGAAAAAGCGAAAGTGAAAACGAAACCAGTTGATGATGAAAACACAAGTGACACAAGTGTGTTTTAATCTCACGAGTGAATGCACCCCAACTAAAATGTGTGCCTCTGCAATTTAGAACAACAATCAGCAAACCAGCAAACATCTGATTAATAATTAGACAGCAATTAAATTGGAGCCTAAGCAGTATCAATAACGCAGCAAGCGTTTCTTTGTGTTGAGCATATATTATAGACCTTGTCGCATATCAAGCAAATTGAAGTGTGTCTGCTAAATATATATATATATGCATGGAAGAATCAACAAGCATGCAACGTCCGGCGCCGCACATTGCCACGAGTATCATGAGTCGCATGTCGATCTTTGAAAGTGAGTTTTAACAACCGATTCGAAATCGTTTCAAATGCACCATTCTTTGAGCACAAAAGAAGCCTCAAGCGTGTGTGTGCAGGTGAAATCTTTTTTAGCCAGGTCGTAAATAATCGCAAACGTTGGCTGGATCGTGTCTTAGATGTCTGAAACGATATTGTCTTTAGAAAGATTTGTGTGTGTGAAACCAAAAGAAACGAAATATTCAAGATCGTTGCTTAAGATATTCTGTGTAAACAAGATATCTGTATTCAATTGGTAAAATGAACTGCAATCTTGATAAGGCGTAACAAAAAATACTGGTTAAAATGTTTCAACCTGTTTTGAGTCTTTATTTTTAACTATTGTTCGTATTACAAATTTGGGCTTACATCACTTAAAGTAATTTGCATTGTAGTTTCAAACTAATTGAAATCTGCATGACAATAGCTGGATCAAAAATGCATTTTAATGCGATTTTGAAAAACTACTTTACGCATAATTTGTATGGCATATTATTAGTAATTTTCTTAACATGCTTTGAGGATTTCCTTTCTTTTGAGCGTGCTGCATTTTCACTTTTCAAAAGCGGCTTTAAAGTCGGCTTTCGTTATACAACGTCGATGGCATTGGGATATCTTGATTTGAATTTGGAATTAAATTGGGCGATAAAAATGATTTTCAATTGCAGTACATTAAGTGCACCAGTTGGTTTATTGAACTTAAATGCCGAAAAGTAATAGTAAATTTTGTAGTTAAACGAAAGAAAAAAAAGTTTGCTTGAAACTGATTGCTTTTCATTTCAGTTTTGTAATCAGTTGAACAATTCGTTGACTTTCATTGTTAATAGTTTCTGAACTTTGCTCATTTTGAAAGACAGTTGTTGATTTGACTTCTTTTCAATTGAGTACGTCAATTGGGCCAATTAATAAAAATGCAAACTTCAGTGAAGACATCAACAAAGGGCCTCAATGCACTTGACAGCCAATTGATCAGCTCAAAGTTTGTCTTGACATCTTTTTATTATTTTTTGTTTTGAGCCAGTATTGATTAAGACATTGCTGCACACAATTTACAACAAATTATTACTAATTTAACAATAAGCCGCAGTTTGTAAAATATGCTTTTGTTGAGTGTGCTTTGAAGTGGCCGTGAACCACACAGAGCTAACCTTTAACCTTTTTAGCCTCGAGCTCAGCAACATTATGAAATGGTTGGCCAAGTTTTTAATATATTTGCCATGTGTCCCAATCGGAAATCATATGCAAATCTTGATTGATTGACTTGCTGCTTGGCATTTGATTTTGCATTTTACATGACTATATCGGGGTTGGTTCAACAACATTCTGAGCCCCATTTGGAGGGCGGTGTCCGCGATCCGATCCAATGCAATAAAATTGCAGGCACTATAAATGAATACCATAGATAGGCATGCAGACATTAACGATTGCGATTACGATGGCGATGACGATGACGATGACGATTACGCACCAGTCGTTTAACAAGTTTTCACTTGCGTAACTTGCAACAAAGCTGTAAAGTCGAAGCCCCAACCCAGGTTGTGGCCGCCTTATTAGAAGCACTGTTACATGCTGCAGCAAGTCAGTGAAATGGGCTCTAATGAGCTGTGCATGTGTTGGTGTGTGAAATTAAGTCAAATGAAATAACAGTCGACGGTCTTTATAAGGGACCCCCATGCCCAACTAATTAGATGCAATTTGTTTTCATCGAGTTCCTCCTTCATGTCCAATGCGACCCACAACGTTCCAGACAACAAATGCAACTACACAATTACACACACACACACACAAGTCTTATGTCTGTGTGCATTTAATTTATTAAATGAAAACTTGTAATATTATCAAGCAAGCAAAGCAAACACACACATTGTCTGTCTTTTTTTGTTTGTTATTTTTTTCGGTGTCTGAATGAAAGTTTTTGTGTGCCTTGGGACAAGTTTACAGCTATGGAAAATTTTCTATTTATTTATTATGACCTGCAATGCAAGAAAGTTAATAGAACTTCGAGCGCGCTTCAAGTTAAACTACGCATGACATTTAAGTACTGTTACTGTTAGTCAGTCAGTGAGTCAGTCATATATCAACCAGCGACATGTAGCATTATTCAAAAGTGTTGTATATGGGTTAATGATAAAAAGAAAACCATTGTTTCATAATTCACTTCAATCAGTCCCAATGCCTGCAAGCTCATTGCTCTGGGCTCTAAAGCACTAGGGTAGGCCTTCTTAATTATAAGTTAGCTGGTTGCAATTAAATAAATAAACGAAAGGTGGGCCTCAAAGACTATCAGAACTAGAGATAATTAATAATTGATGTTCATTTCATTAGATATAAACCATAAGCATGAATCCAAGCAAGAGTTCGTATTGAAAAAAGCTTAAGATACTTAAAGTTCCTTCAGTTTTTGAATCAATTATAAATATTTCCTGGCATATTTGGTATGTGGGCTTTCTTGTATGGATAGATTTCTTTATTGTCCTATTTAGTATATATTGAATAAAAATATATAATAATAACTAAGTTTCTGTTTCATTCAAATCAGTAGTTATTGAAGCTATATCTACCTAGATTTGGAGTGTATGCTCAAGCTATGTCTAGCTAGATTTGGAGTGTATGCTCAAGCTATATCTAGCTAGATTTGGAGTGTATGCTCAAGCTATATCTAGCTAGATTTGTAGTGTCTGCTCTCTCATAATAATCTGCTATCTATGAGCTTTTTCTTTAAAGTAAAAACGTAGTTAGTATTCCCATTCATTCGAAGAAAAGGGCATCTTTGAAATGTGAACTCTCAGAAATGTAAATTTGTATTTCCCCCCAATGCATTATTACATTTCCTATACACATTTACATAATTTTGCACCGCATACAAATTCATATTTCCCATTATGATTTGAAGTAGTTTCCAAATTGATTTCACGCTTTTTATGACTTCAACGTTTTTTTTTTTTTGGTTTTCTGTGTTGTGAGACATAACAAGTCTAGATTCGCATCCATTTTAACGACTTTCACAATGTGATTGTCTCATCAGCGATTTTCAACGGCATTTTTCAGCAAATGGGACGCCTTTCTGTGTCCCTTATCAACACTTATTAATCTGGTTTAGGTTCTGGTTCTGGTTCTGTTTCTGTTTCTGTTTAAGTCTCTTCCTCTTTGTTGGCGTCTGCTCCAGAAATGTGCGCCCAAATGTGGGTTATTATGACGATGTCGAACATAAAAACAGTTTGCGGCAAAAGAAAGAAAGAATCTTCAAATTGACTGCCAGCCGGCCGGTTGAGCTTGTTTGTTGTTGTTGCTTTTGGCTTTAAGCGGTTATTTATTTTTATTTTTTGTTTGTTACAGATAGGCAGTTGTGCCAAGTCTTCTGATTTTGTTTTTTGTTTGTTTTGTGTAACAACAAATTGACAATGACATGAATGCAAAGAAATATTTAACCTTAATAAAGCGAGAGGCGACAACCAAGTCAAGTCAAGTCGAAAAGACATCGACCAAGACATTATTTTTTGCCGCTCTATTGTTGTGCCGAGCCGTATATTATCATCAGCTGCTTCTTCTTCTTCGTGCTCTTGTTGTGTGCTGTGTGTGTTGTGTGTGTTGTGTGTGCATTGTCTGATTTATGGAACGAAGGCCAAGTGCCAATTAAACTTAGTAACTGACAAAGATTTCTTAGTATTATTCTTTGTTTTTTTTTGTCTTGCCCACATTTTTGTAGAAAGTTCAACATGTCAGCGATTTGTATTGATCGATGTTGCATTTTGTTCTGTGTTGCAGATACGACTCGGACGCAAAGTTTGGCTGAGAGGGAAGCGGACACGATGATGTCCATGTCAAGTTCACCGCCAGCGACGCCCACCGGCGTCCAAACAGATTCCGAGGGTCTCATATTGCCAAAGAAGCTGATCAATCCCTGCCTGGAGAACACAGATCACAGATCACTCAATCGCGAGCTAAAGTTCAATGCGCGCATGTAAGTAAAAATGGAATATTATCTACCTAACAACAAGCAACTCAAGCTAAAACGTATCTCTTTTGTTCTCTATTCTATTGGCTATTAGTGGCAAGAGTGTGCTAAATCAGAAGACGGAACTGCAGCGTGCCTACGAGAAGCAAAAGGAGCGACATGCGGCAGCTGAACTGCAGCATTCACCCGAAACGGAGCTGGCCGGGCTCAAGGGCGAGCTGGGACGCGTGATTATGGAGCGCGCCCAGAAGCATGAGGCGGCGACACAAAAACAGGATGCCGAGGAGGCCGAGGAGCGGCAATATGTCAACCCCGAGTATCTCAATGTACGCGCCAAACTGCGTACGGCGAATGCGCCCAATTGAACAAGAACACGAATCAACAAACAACAAAACAAGAAACATACAACAAATCTGTAATCTTTAAATATCTAATCTTAGTTGTGACCTAACCAAATTATCTGTTTAATTAACTGGACGTTTAATGTGCGAATGAGTTACCCCTTTCGGAGAGTTCTTTTCGTTATGACGTTGAAGAAGAACATAGTGTTAAATTTCTTTGATATTGATATTATTAATTTTTAGTTAATAAGACTTAGTAATTTCCTTTGTTCTATGTGTATGACAGTAAATTGATTATGAATATGGTTATGCTTATCATTTTTCACATGTGAATGTGTAAAAAAAAACAAATGTATAAAGTTTTAGTTATTTAAAACATTTCTTCTTCCAAAACCACAAAAAATTGAAAACAAAAAAGAAAAAGTGAAAAACCTAACGAATTGGCTGAATGAGTGTCTAAGTGGTATGTTTAGGAATAGTCATAGGATGCGATATTGATATGATAAACAGGGCAGTTGAAGCTTTTAGTAACTAAGCTAAGAACGAGTGTTTGATGTAAGCCAGAGAGTTATAATATCTATATAGTATATAGTATAGTGTGTATATGTATATGAACTATTTTATGTCAATGCGATTGCAATATTTATGACAATTAACATGAAAGTTTTTGCAGTTGCAAAGGGAAATTTAAAAACAAATTACGAATACAAAAAAAAACAAACAAAAAATACAACTCTATATATACAATATATATCTATATACACAAATTTAGTTTTCTGGTATTAATAAATTTTATTGTAGCTAAACGTTAAGCAAAACATTGTTTCTCTTTGGTGTTTTCTGTATTCTTGGCCAAGTTGTGCAAATCCAACCAATTTTCTTGGAGTTTCTATGCCAGCCAGCAGTTAAAGATTGTACTTGATATGTGAACTTTAATATATGAAATATTCCGAAGAGGATATTTGCTTTATGGTTTATATTTTTAGGTATTTACGTGCTGATCCTATTGGGGAATAAAACTTTTCTTTTGGTATCAAAGCAAACTTGGTGAAAATATTTGAAAAATTTCATTTTACAATCGGTTGAAAAGCGTATAATGTATAAACCGTATTTAAAATCTAAAGTATTTGAAAATCCAAAATCATTAATGTGGTGCAGTAAGCAAACAGACGGTGCCATTGCTGATGAGGCGATTTCAGATCGTAAGGTGGCTGAAGATGGAAAGCAGGTAACCCCACAGTGAACACTCAAGGTGACGGCTTATGCCCATCCTAATTGCCCATTAGGCACATCCCACAGCCATTGCCATTGTCCAGCCTCGCCAGACGCGGTACACAAGGTGCCGTGACACCACCAACACCAGGCAGTCACGCGAGTGGTCCGTGGTGCCACAGGACGTGGACGTGAACAATGATATTATGCGTCTGGTTAGCAGTCTCTCCAACGTTATACAGATCCTGGTCCGCATGAGCAATACGGCTGCTCACGAACTGCTGCGGCATCCCGAACGTGGCGAGGACTACGAAGGACTGCGTTTGCTGCTGAATTACGCTGATCTGATGTACACCACGCTGCTACAGGTAAGCTTTACAGTCATCAGTCGATAATTGGGACTTTGAGTTATTCGATTTTGGTTTCAAATGTGTAGTGAGCATTAGAAAGAGTTTAGAGGTGTTCTAGCAACCAGTGCACTAATCTAACCCACTTTAGCCGCAGCGCAATTCGGAGCAGCGGTCGTCGGAGCGAACATCAGAACCCAGCAGAAATGATAGCATCCCATCCAGTAGCCTATTCCATAACTTATTTCGACCCATTCTGTTACCCCCGGAGAGGCGGGAGCAGGCTTTTGATCGAACATTAACACGAACATTTCCCTATAGAGTTGTAACGGGAATTGCGAGTGTTGCTGAACCACCAGTTGCTGAGTCAGCTGAACCGGCTATCGAGTCTACAGATAACGCAAATTACAGTTGACATCGCAACAGAACTTCATGGTGTACTTTAAATTGTTTGTGAATATAGCAAAAAAAAAGTGCATTCAACTAATAAATATATTTTTGTTATTACTGTGCTCCAAAATAAGCTCTTTGCTTATTCAAAGAAGTGCTGGGTATGATGGGAACAACATTGCTTGCAGTCAGCGCACATGAGAATCCCACTCGTTTGCAAGCACAAAATGCTTCAGCGGCTTGTGCTCAATTCCACAATGCCAAACTGCAAGAAATGTTTTGTTCCACTCACAAACAGCGAGAGCTAACAGTACACGAACAGAAGACATGTAAATACGACTCGTGCCTAATGTCAGTTAATGTTAATAGCAGGCAGTGAGTGTGCATGTAACGGTAAACCTGAGCACAGTGTCCAAAACAGACAGTAACAAAATACATGCATGCATGCATACATATGCATGTATGTACACAACAACAACAACACACACTCACCCACGCCCACGCAGCACCAGAGGCGCTCTCGCACTCTCTCATTCTCTGCTCTCAATTTCATACATACGAGTGCACTCTCACTCTCGCTCTCGCTGTCTCTCTCTCCCTCTCTCTGCCGCATTGGGTGCTGCGTTTGCTGTTGTTTGCTCATGTGCTTCTGTGACGTAGGCGCCCGCTTACGTTGGCTCCGCTCACACACACAAAAGCACACACATACGAGCATACATTTAAAATAGCTTTTAGTTGCTCAGCTGGCGCTGCGTCGCTTGCTGCTGCTGCTTGTGCGCCTGTTCCCACGTATCGCGTAGAGGGACCTGCCTCAATGCTGCGCGTTCATTTTTTCTATATGGGGGAGCCTACCGCACAACGAAATTAACAATGCTTTTTGGGGCTTGATTTTTTTTTTTGTCTTTCTGGGAGTTGTGCTGGCAGTGGCCCATTTGAGACTGTAGGCGCCGCTTCGTCTTTTGGCGTCTGCGCTGTGAAAAAGAAAAGCGCCCTCGCCTAGAGAGTTTGCAGCTTTGTAGCTTGCAGCTTGGCCACCATTTTAGATTTCGCTGAGAGCTGTAGTTGGTTATGAAGCAAACAGAATAATGCGAATACTGCTGGATGCTGCAGCCAGCGACACTTGCCGAGATCGAACGCGAGGGGGCGGAGTGTTTTTTTTTCTCTCTTTTATTTTTATCAACTTATCAGCGAGCTTTTTAACGCTGTTACACTCTGTTAAACGGCAGACACAACTGTAACTTTGTATTAGAGATGAGCACGTGGCGGATTTTTTAATAACCATTCATTTCACCAATACGAAGTGGTCTTCAACCATATACTTTATTCTAATAATTGCAGGGTAATTTTGTAGCTTCGAGCTTTGCTATTTTGAAAACTAATATGTAATCATTTCTTTAGCGTTGATTAATATTTGTATCCATTTGTATATGGATAAGCTGGCTATTCAATCGGACTCCTTTCTTTATAGATGATAATCAAAAGTGGGTTTGGCAAGCATTGGTGTCGTGATATTTCACGAACAGTGCGTGTCACGCATATAAAAGCAACACGCCACCAACTCTAGTGTAAAAGGGCGCCACGCTATCTTTCATGTAATTGTGCAAGTCTCTATGTATGTATGTATGTAGGTGTGCATATGGGTAGATGTGTGTGTGTTAGTCATCTTTTTATGTACGACCTGCTTAGCGTCGTCCGCTGATTGCTGATTGCTGTGCACTTGTTCGCTAAACCGCAGCGAGCGCTGGCATTGCCATCGGCAGCGGGCGTAACGGTAAACGAGAACGACGCCGTCGTCGCAGGCACGACGACGGTCGCATCTGATAGACAGCTGTCTCCTGGTTACGTCAGTCAAAATGACGCATCGTGTTTTGGTAACAGGAATGCATAAATGCCAGCAGACAACGAGCGACAACGTCGCCATCGCCGTCGCCGTCGCCGCCGCCATTGTCGCCACCTACTGGAGCGAGAGCCACCAGAAAAGAAAATCACCACAAAACAAAAGAACAAAGCGCAAGCAGCGACGCCAAACAACGACGACAACGACAGCGACGCCAAACAGCAGACGCAGACAGCAGCCACAAAGAGCGCACGCGACACTCCGCCTTTGGCGCCCACATCGAGCCACCCTCGCAACTTTCGAGGCAACTCTGGCAACGCTGACAACTCTGGCGGGCCAATAACCTTTCCGCAATTAGGCAAAGTGCAGCTGCGACTAGAGAAACTCTCCAAAGTGCAATACAAAATAACTTCTCAATCTCAGCGCAAAAGAATCTTTGAGTCACAATTACAATTAACATTACAAGCTGAACGCCTAACCTGCAAATACCCTCTAAATCAAAATAAATATTAAATTTATATTTTTATTTATTTTAATTCAATAAATTTGTATTGGCAAGCCTAAAAGTGAAAGAATATTGTTGTAGTTGAATGCGTAATATTTTTTTTTAAAAACTCAGACAATATCCGAATAATATACAAATAATTCAAAATTTGGCTTTTAAATTTCAACTAAATATACAAATTTCTTGTTGAATAGCTTCGCAAGTTAAGCAACCCACTCAGCTCGCCAGCTGTAAGCAGGGTACAACCAAGTGCTTTTTGGGGGACAGCCCTGCAAGGCAATCGCTTGCCCCCCATTGGATCCATGCAAACGCACACGAAACACTGCAAAACGCCAACGCAAAATGGCAGAGTCGGAGCAGAGTCAGAGTCAGCGTCAGCGTCAGCGTTTCTTTGCTGCTGCTTTCACAGTGAAATGGAATGAGTATGTGAGAGAGAGAGAAAGACAGACAGAGAGAGAGAGAGAGAGAGAGAGCGCGCGGGGAACGGAATGGAATAGAGAGAGAGAGCAGCTATGCGACTCTGTGCGCCTGCTGCTTTGCGGACAAAATTTGAGCAGATCCGCTCACAAAAAAAGCAGGCAGCATTTTGCGGCGACAAGTTGTAGTGACGAACTGGTAGGTTCCACAACGTTCCAATAATCGGGCTTCTACTCCGCTGCGCAGCTCGGTTGGAGGTAACTGAGCCGTTCCAATTGGAAATGGCTCGCACGCGAGCTCCACACCAAATGACATGGGAAAAATCCCCAACTGGTATTTTGAGCAGGCGCACAGCTTGGCCCAGCACCAGAACAACCAAAGAGTTCACACAATCGCAATCCGACTCGACACAGACAGAGACAGCAACAACAAGTGGGACAGAGACAGGAAAAGGGACGGGAACAGGGATAGCGAGGCGAACAAACTTGGCTGGGCTGTCCACTGAGATAAGAAGCACAGCGCAAACGAAACGAGATAAGCAAAGAGCAGCAAATGTGCAATGGGAGCGAGATAAACAATAAAAAAAAGTCCCGCCTTGAATTGGTCGACGGGCCAAAGAGTTGTTGTCTTTGCAGATCGCTGGAAACGATAAGACACATTTCAATTGCTTCAAGACCTGCTCCTTGGATTCGATCAAATTAATCAAAAGCTGATTTTTTTTTATTATTTATTTTGTTTTTTCGTCAGCGATTACTCAACGTAATAAAAGCTTTTATCAATCGTTGTTATCGCTTCTAAACACACATTTCTGGCACTTGCCAAGTTAGTAACTACAGATATAAAAAGCTATCATTTGATTGACTTTCCATTCAGTCGCGCTGCAACCGCCCAACAGCAACGTTTCCAAATTTGCCAGATAGAGAGAGAGTGATAGTGTGTGAGTATCCAAGTAAGAGCGGAGGCGCAACTGAGTGCCACAGCTACTTAGAGCATTTAAATAGCTTTCAATACACATAAAGCTAGTGATAAATGCGCCCCGGCATTTATTTATTTATTTATTTTTTTGTCAGCTGGTAATAGTTTTGTTGTTGGTGATCCGCTAATTAACCGCAAAGAGAGCGAGTTGTGTGTGGAAAAATGATATTGTTATTTGTTCTGAGCGACTGCCGTTCAATGATGCAAGCACCCAGGAAATAGCAATAGAATCTGAATCTGACAACGTGAAAATAATATTGCTGATATATATAATGATTATAACATTCCGTAATCAGTAAACAGTGAGCAATCTTTAAATATAAAAATGTTTTCAATGAACAACTGTTTCCATTTTTAATTTATTTTTACAATGCTTGCCTTTTATAGATACTTTTTTGTTGTGTTTTAAAGTGAATGAACCATTCTCAATTTTCTTAAGTCACGTTAATATTTCGCTTAAATCAAATCAGGAAGCAGATCCCGCACTTTTAAGAAATTCTCTCTGTTCTTTCCATATTTTTAATTAGAATACCGGCACATGTAGGGTCTCTTAAAGTAGAGTCTCTTAAAGTACTCGTTATGATCCCATCGTAAGTTCTCTTCCAGTGAGCAGCTTGAAACCGGTATTCGCTGTATACGAAAGAGAGCACAGAACACAGAAATAGAATGCTGATCAGGTTCAGAAGTTTATCGTCAATCAGTGGCGGCTTTAGCCAGGTTGCTGTCTGAGCAACAATCTTTTATATATATATATATGTGTAGGTCGGGTTGGGGCTCAGTTGCTTGCCGAGCGTCGCCTTGAGCACAATGGCTATGATGAAAGTGTTGCTTCCACTGTTGTGTCTGGTGGCACTGTTAATAACACCCAACGATGCCTCTCGCAGATCCAAGAACCACACCATGTCCGCGAAGCCATTCAAGGTACTCATCACGCATCCAGAGGTGCCACAGTCGGGCATCGATCTGCTCAAGGAGAACTGTGAGCTGATCCAGGTGCAGAGTTTGCCGCCAAGTCGTACTGAGCTGCTGCAGAAGGTCAGAGGCGTCGATGGCATCTTCTGGGGTGGACATGAACTCCTCAACGCTGAAGTACTCGATGCGGCTGGACCACAATTGAAATCCATTTCGACGATGTCAGCGGGCCTTGACAACGTCGACTTGGATGAGGTGAAACGTCGCAAGATTCCCCTGGGACACACGCCCACCGTTCTGAATCCAGCTGTTGCCGATTTGGCGGTGGGTCTCCTCATTGCAGCCGGTCGTCGCTTTCACGAGGGGCGCAAGAAGATTGAAACGTAAGTTGAGCCCATGGAGTAAATAATCAATAATCAATCATCAATGTGCCTTCTTTAGTGGCCACTGGGAGAACTATCACCTGAACTGGATGCTTGGCCAGGATGTGCGTGACTCTGTTGTTGGCTTCTATGGCTTTGGCGGCATTGGCCAAGCGATTGCCAAGCGTCTGTCCAGCTTCGATATCGATCAGGTGTTGTATACTACAAGGCGTCGCGTCCACAGGGAAATTGAGCAGGAGCTCAATGCCAAAAAGGTTCCCTTTGATGAGCTGCTGAACAAGAGCGATTTTGTCGTCATTTGCGCTCCATTATCGGCAGAGACGCAGGGTGTCTTCAATGCCACCGCCTTCAACAAGATGAAGACCACCGCCGTCCTGGTGAACATTGCACGTGGCAGTAAGTAGCTCTAAACTGAGATACAATCAGTTCTTGCCTCATGCATCCCTTTCTGCTCGCAGAGATTGTCAAACAGAATGATTTGTATAATGCGCTCAAGTCGAACCGAATCTTTGCCGCTGGTCTGGATGTTTCAGATCCCGAACCACTGCCACCCAATGACAAGTTGCTAACCCTGGACAACCTCGGTGAGTGGTATTCCAATTATATATATAGATTTCTGCTACAAGTCTGTATATATTTTTAGTGATAATTATAAGTTAGCTTTTTTATCGCTCAACATGACTTGGTATTATTATTATTATCTTCGTTGTTTTTTTTAGCGATTGTTTGCAAAACACAAAATTAGAAAGCTTTGTTATTGGAGGATGTAGTTTTCTGTGATGGTCAAGGTTCTTTGTAGGTTATCAAATATTTATTTATGTATTTAAAGATTGAGCAGTTACCTGGGTTAAGAGATAACTCAAGTCTATGTTTTGTTTTTAATTTATTTTATTTATACAAATATTTAATATGTTATTATAGAGTTATTATTATTCTTAAATAAGTTTTTTGCTGGCTCCAGGTGAAAGGTGTTTCGAGTCCCGAGGGGATTAATGGAGAGATTCAAACAATTGTGAAGTTTTTTATATATTTCAATAAGCGGAAGATTTCAAATATATTAATGTGATATGAGATGAGATATCGATGCATGCTGTGCTTTATAGAGAACTATAAAACAATATCTCGTTTTGTAGAGTGTCATATCTTATCTTTGATCACGTTTTTAATATGCCACAGATTGTATAGCGTGACGAAGTCGAAATTCTCTATAAGACCTTTAAATAGTTTGACCAAACAACTATTAAACTATAACTATTTAATATATGTATATGAGACTAAACTTTCAAGTTTTGCAAATTAGAATTGAACTAAATTAGATATTGAAATCGTACCTTTTTTCTCTCATTTGAGAAGGTCACTCGTAGGAATAGTTTGCTTGACTCAGATATTTGCCTATATATGTTATGCATATAGTATTTAAAGTGTATACTTGAAGGTAAACTCACTTCACTTTTTGTATGATTTGTTGCTCGTTTCAGTCATTATGCCGCACATTGGATCGGCCACAAATCGCACCCGTTCCGAGATGGCCACAATTGCCGCTCACAATGTGCTGCGCGGCTTGGCCGGAGAGCGAATGCTGTCGCCTGCCTATTAGAAGAAATCATGGAATAACTATGCAAACCCACTGAAGTGTGCAAGGCCTATTGACAGCTGGGAAAATAACTAACAATAGTCTGGATAATTAATGAATAAACATCAAATAAACGAAATTAAAGAAAATGTGTACAAGGTGTGCTGAAGCGTTAAGTGTTAAAGCCTAATGTCTAAATGGAAATGCCTGAAATTCAGAACTAGAAAAATATCATTCCGGTCATATTTCTTCAATTTAACAATATCCATTCATTCAAGGAACAGGAACAGTAATCACATCGAAATGAAATCGATATAATTATAAATTATTCATTATGAAAAACATACCAATTTGATAAGCATAATAAGATGCATAAATGGAAACACATTGCTGGGTATCATATCATTCAAAAAGACATCCGGTTGATTCTGTTGCAAATTAATCAAAGTGAGGCAGGTCTTAATTAAAGTAAAGTTATAGCTCAATCCACTTACTTTATAAAAGCCAATCACTAACACAATCCAGTAGCAATAATGGTTATCAAAATACAAACACAACACAATAACCACTATCAACTTTATGCTGGAGAGTAATTCTCTATTTAATCTGTTAATCTTGCTCACATCAAATTCTCCTCACTGTGCAATCCATAAAAATGGATTGAATAGCGCCCATAGCAGCTGTAATTGCATCTTGAAAAAGGCTGGAAAAAAGAGCTGACAGAGAAAAAGAGCTTGTGGAAAAAGCTCATTTGTTGTTTGTGTTGAATTTTTGCATTAGTTAGACGCTGGCTGTCGGCCACTTCGGTTCGACATGAGTGTATCGAGGGCATTCAAGGTGCTCGTTACGCACCCGCAGGTGCCGCTGCCGGCGCTGGAGCTGCTCCGCTCCCGCGGCGCCGAGACAATCGTCTGCCAGAGTGTGCCGCCGTCGCGTGATGAGATCCTGCAAAAGGTTGCCGGCGTCGATGCCATTTACTGGGCGCACTATCAGCCCCTAAATGCCAGCATTCTCGATGCAGCTGGACCCAAATTGCGCGCAGTCAGCACCATGTCGTCGGGCATAGACTATGCTGATGTGGCTGAGTTCAAGCGCCGCCAAATTCCATTGGGGCACACGCCGGGCGTCGTGAAGAATGCAGTTGCAGATCTGGCCATTGGGCTAATGATTGCAGCTGGTCGCCACTTTCATGCGGGCCGCACCAGCATCGAGACGTGAGTATCAGCTGTGCGCAAAAGCTCACGCTTGAGCTTTGAGGCGAAAGCTCAATAAGCTTTTCATTTCGCGCGCATTGCAGTGCTGCCAACTTGTTTGACGCTTTCAAACAGTGATCGCAAAGAACAAAATAATGCTTTAAGATAATTCAAGTTTTTATATAACAGTTACAAATTGTTAATTACAAGTTTTTATATAACAGTTACAAATTGTTAATTACAGTTGTCTTTCAATAAAAATTAATCTGTTATCTGTTCCTTTCTTTCCAGCTCACAGTGGGTAACGGAGCGAATAGATTGGCTAATGGGTAAAGAGATTCGAGACTCTGTCATTGGCTTTTTTGGTTTCGGCGGCATTAGCCAGGCCATTGCAAAGCGTTTGCAGGGCTGGGATGTGGCCAAGATACTCTACACGACGCGCACTCGCAAGGAGAACGATGTGGACTTCAAGGCGGAGCATGTGCCCTTCGAGCGTTTGCTGGGAGAGAGCGATTTCCTCGTGGTTGCCGCACCACTCACCGACCAAACGCGTGAGAAATTCAATGCACAGGCTTTCGAGCAAATGAAAAGCAGCGCAGTCTTTGTCAATGTGGCCAGGGGAGGTGAGTGGGTTGTGTCTCGTTAAGGAGATGTGTACTATCTATATGAATATATCCAGGTCTGGTTAAACAGAGTGATCTGCATGAGGCATTGATCACTGGGCAAATCTTTGCCGCTGGCCTCGACGTCACCACGCCGGAACCACTGCCTGCCAATGATCCCATCCTGAAGCTACCCAATTGTGGTGTGTACTGAACTAATCATAAACTATAGCAAATGTTATTAACTTGATTTTTGTTTCAGTTGTCCTCCCCCATATGGGCACGCAGACAATGAAGACGACCATCGAAATGAGCCTCTTGGCAGCCAATAATATCATCAATGCGATTGATGGCAAGCCCATGATTCGGTCAGCCTACTGAGCTACAGGTCTTTTGAATTAAATATTATTTATTTTGTAAATAAAACTTGGGCATTTCGTAAGTCTCGTTAAATCGAGGATTACATACACTTGCAGCTATATTTTTTTTAAGTCCGATGTTGAAATTAGGACTACATTTACTTTGCAATGGTTTATTCTAATTTTTATTCACTGACATTCCCATCATCGACCACATGTCTCAGATACATTGCATCCCATTCATCACGCTGCAAGGCCTTCAGATAATGTCGTCGTTCCTCCAAAACACGTTGCAACAGATCCACATCCGACTGATCCGACTGATGCTTCTGGGCAATCTCAAGGGCACGTTTCCAGTTATGCATGCGCAAAGCCAGAGCCACAGCTTCTCCAAATTTGCGATTGTGCAGCAGTATCGTCTCCGCCTCGAGCGTTCTGCCCAGCATTAGAGAATTCTCGGCCATTTGCTCAGCGCTCGAGGGCGACAAGGTCTTCAGGTGCTGCAGATAGCTAACCTTGTCGATCTGCAAAGCAGCCGAATAGGCCTCTTCGCTGAGCTGCAGCTGATGCTTCCTGGTGGCCACGGCGGCCAGTGTGGCCCACAGGCTCGTGTGCTGCGCCTGCCGGCAAATCCTCAACGCCTGCTGCCACTGCCCCTCCTGCAAGGTGCGATGCAGCACCTCGCAGTAGACATTGACATTTATGGGCAAGAGGGCGCCGGCACAGCGAAAGGTGATCACAGCATCCTCAAAGCTATCGATGGCCACATGCTTGCCAAACTCACTGAATAAAGGAAGAGATATATTTACATCTAAAATTGGCGTAAGATTTTTTTTTTATTATAAAAGTGTTGAACTTACGCTGTGTCCAGTGTTATCGTCGTCAGGGCAATGATCGTCGGATCGGCGGCACCCTCGCCCGGACAGTACCAAATGCTGTAGCAGGAGTCGTGCACACCCACCAAAATGTTTGTCTCGCTGGCCCACTTGATGGACGTTAGCTGGGTGCCAATCTTATAGATTTCATCCCCGCCATTGGCCAAACGATCTGCGGAGCCACCGGCGTTGGAGTTACCGCTCAAATTGCGCGTCTCACTTATGTACAGCTCCCGGTTGGTATCGATGAAGGCAACGAACTGATCATCGGCGCTCCCAGCCCGACAGGCGGCGATCTCGGCCAGCTGCTGCTTGGCCCGCAACGAGTGCGGCTCATACTGACGGGAAGCACCGGGAATTAGATCGAAAAGGTGGAGCAACATTGTCTCCGAGTTGTCGCGTATGGCGAGCACATCCAATCCGAGCGAAATGGAGCGCCAGTTGAGCAGTGGCAGCTGCGCCTGCGAGCCCGGATACCGGGGATTGAGATGCAGGCGACCCGTGTAAGTGTACACCCAAATGGAGGAGGCATCGAGCACCATAAAGTATCTGAAAGTGGGTAGAGATATACTGGGAGAATCAGAAAAGTATCACAAACTTACGTAGAAAAAACGATTTTGTAACTAACAAATTACAGGAGAAAGAAAAGGTTTTTTAAACTGAAATCTTCTTTGAACTTATCATATAATTAATTTCATAAAACTATTATTGCTATCTTTATCTTCATATGATGCGAAATCAGAATGTCTCTATTAGTTTTACGAAACGTTTTTATCAGTGTATGCAGTGGTTGCCCTTGTCTTAACTCACTTTTTGCCAACTTCCATGACGCGGACATCGTTGCGACCATCAATAATTATGGGAGTATTGACATATTTCTCATTGTAGATGTGCAGCTGGTGGGTGGTGGCCACCACCAAATGACCGTAGCCCAAGGCAAAATTGATGACGCGCTGCGGAAACTCCAGAACATCCCTGGTGCCAGTGGCAATGTCCTGCAGCGCAATGCACTTGCGTCCTGTGCTCGTTGCCTTCAAGTTGCGCGAGATGAGTTGCTGCTCGACGGCAAAGCCCACAATCAGCTGACCGGTGGAGGTGCCACAGGCGACCTGTGTGCCATCTGTCGACCAGGACAACGTGTAGAAGGACCCAACACTGGGCGCCGTAAAACGAGCGCTGCTATACGACCACTGGCAAAGCAAAAGATTCTACTTCTAATAGACTCGATGACTGGATTATTTAAAGGTAAACTTACACCGGTGCTGTGGCACAACTTGAGCATGTTGAACGTGCCCACCAGCAGGTAATCCTTTTCCGGATTGAAGGCTACGCTTGTTATCGCATACTCCTCGGCTGCACTGCTGTACAGATTGGCGCCCTGTGCATCCCAGATCTTAAAGCGAAAGTCCTCGCCACCAGACGCTATAATATTGGACTGGGTCGACCAGCTAAGCGATAGAACTAGACCATCATGAGCTCGCCACTGAAATGGATGATAATTAAAGTGGAAAGCTTACTATCAAATATAATATGTGTAATGTAATTTAGAATTATGAACAGGATTCAGTCTTTAACAGTCATCAGTTAACCAATTTTATTAGAGCAAATAAAAGTACAATCAACACAAAAGTATTGAGAAAACAATACAATAAAAGTATATTTGAAAATTATTACATAATTAATTTTGAGCTGTTTAAATAATTTAATTAACTACTATTCCTTAGCACAAACTCACCCTGATTAGTTTGCTGTTGGCTGCCAGTGGCTTAATGGAAATGTGACCGCCCTGACTGAAGGCAATTGCCGTTGAGCTGGGCGCCCAGCGGGCACAGCGTATCGCCTCGTCGCTCTGTATGACTGTGGAACGCAACATGCCGGAACGTGACCAGATCTTGACGACACCATCCTCTGCTGCCGTCAAGAGTCCAGCGCCATCGGGACTCCAGCGACCCGAGCTAATTGCCGCCGTGTGGGCGGATATGCTGCGCTCCACTCGCGCACTCTTGTTCAATATAATGAAGCGTCCGTCATTGCTGCAGATGAGTAGCGTATCGCTGCCCTTGCCACCGCCACTGCTGCGACCACCCAGCAGCAGCCAGTGCATATCTGTGGGTATGAAGTCATCGGGCAGCTTGGCCACCTCCACTGAATCGCGGCTCACATCGCTCCATTTGTAGATCTGATGATCATCGCTGTTGAATCGTGACTCACTTTAAGGTTACGGGGAAAAGTTGAATTCATTTCTCACTGCACACCTGACAAAATAGATTTCCTCATTGCTGCTCCAGTCCACGCAGCTCAGAGGATAACTACAGGATTGTGGGCTGCGCTCCTGTGAGGTTTCCGTATTTGTATTTATCGAACTTCTTTTGCAAATGCGCGTCTTAAGTTTCATTTTCTATTAGATATTTGTGTAGTTTGCTGATGGCTTCGTTTATGGAAAATTGAATATGCATTTGTTTGCCTTTGGGTTGCCATGGAAATTGTTGTTGTTTCTTGTGGCAACGGTTCTAAGACAGGGGTTGCAAATGGTGCATGCATTGGCTAACTAACTGGTGCCGACATTGACTAACCACACACTTGACCAAACCAACCCAAATTGCATTGACGAAAGCGAGTATGAACAGTTTACATAGTTTCTATGAACTTTTTTATCTTGATATATTTAATTGTACAATTGTACAGCTTTAACTATTTCCTTGCCGTTGCTGTAAGTCGACTTATTTCAGATAAATACGTTCGCAAATGTGTTCAGCTGTAATTTGAACAAAGGCACGGAGCACAGCACCTTACCCATAATTAAGTGAGTCCAATTATTTGCCTAAGCTGCCGTAACTACATTTAATATCAACTTGAAATAATTGAGAGTACTGGCTTCTCATTGTCGCAGCTGCTCAATGTTATTTTAGTAATCCAAACGGTGCCAAACACAATTGTAAAACGAAAGCGTGAAGATTGTGCGATTGTTTTCAATTTAGGGTAAATGTCAAAATAAAACTTCTAAAAAGTTTTTCTTAGTTTTTCGTCGTCGCTTCTGTATGCCTTTAGAAATGTTAGCCTACTTTTAGCATTACAGTTAGTAATTACCCATGCCCACTTAATTACCCTAACCAAATGACCAATCATTCAACATAAATCCAACTAAAAAGGCCTCAGGATGTGGTCCTAATCGATTTCCTGGAACCGTATAAAATATAAATAATAGCTGTACCATAATTATTTTCTAATTTGTATGCAGTTGTCAAATCGAAGTGTACTGAAATACTAAAATCACTAGACGGACAACTAACGACGCCTCGTTGTCCTGCTAAGCACATTACGCATTCCGCACTTCGCCACAACCACCCCCAGTTAACCCAGTTAACGGCCTAAAAACTATCTAAGAATCGGGTTTCTTTGTCTTCCGAAGTTGTGCATTGTCATCCACTCGAGGCGTAGTTTATTGGATTTACTTGAACTGGGGTTGTGTTCGCTGAACCTTCTAGTTAATTTGATGGATTGTTGAAGTAGGCACTTCGGGGGTTTGAGTTTGTTTGGCTGCTTAACAATTATTTTGTTGGGCATTAACCTGGACTAGACAAGTGCCAATAATAACGGTCGAATATAGGAAATACAACTAAACACATATACTAAGTTATAGCTGGAATAAAAATAAACTATAGTTTATGAATATATATAAATGCCGACACATCAATTTGGCAGACCTATAAATAGCTTAGCAAACGTAAACATTTTTTAAATTTTAAATGCTGTTTTCATATTTAAAATCTTCCAAAAATTTGAAACACTTGCTTATATTCAACAATTGAACAAGTTTATATTTATTTTCTCAAGGATTTCTTCCTACTGTTAATATTGCCCCACCATTTGCAGAGCTCTTTTATTGCTTCAGCTTAATGGATTCGATATGATACCAAATTCATTAACCGCAGCCATATAACTCATAAGTCAATGTACTCCATATCAGCAATAGTCAATGTACTCCCTTCCTTATAAAATTCCCGTTGCCCCAGCACCATAAAAGCAAAATAATAAAAGACAAATCTCGTTGCCATAGAAAACGCGTAAAATATTTGCAAAAACACATCCAAGCAGGGATCGATCCACGCTGCCAAGTGGTGTCCTCCTCTCCAGCTGGAAAGTGTCAAAATTGCATTTCCTTATCAAAAATCCGCGCATGATTAGATGGCGACGATGGCCATGTGGACGCCATAGCCGCAGTTAGTATTCAATTGCCACCGATAACAAACTGAAAAACTGACAAAGTGGCAAAGTGGCAAAGTGACAGATAGACAAAAGGACAGACTGCAACAGTCGTTAAACGTCAATGGTGCAAGAAAACGCAATGGTTTAGTGCACAGTGGAACTATTACTGGCAAAATGCTTTCATTTCGTTTTGTGGTCTCTCTTATAAAAATGTTTTATTTAAGTTATTTATTTATTTATTAATACACGATCTTCTGCTCTGCTAAGACAGCAAATTGTGATTTGCAGCATTTAATAAAGTTATATATTCTTCCTCATTCTTCAAGGATAACTTGTCTGATAAGCAAGGGTAGTTTATATATAAATTTTAACCAAATAAAATAGAATCAGATTTATAATAAGTTTTTATAAGTATAATTTATAATTAGCTTTTGTTCCACTGTGCGGCATTTGAAACTGCAAGTGTTTCTTGTGGCAACTATTGGAAGAGCTGGCCATAGACGAGTGCTTAACCTGCTCCTGCACCCAAACCCATCTAAATGACTAACTGCACTATAAAATCCAGCTTCACTTCGACTACTCCATGCGTATCTTCGTTAGCCCCCTCTTCCTCTCCCTCTCCTTCTACGACTGTTTCAATTTGGTCTTTCAATAACTGTTTCAATCTGCGTGCAGTTCTCACTTGAAACGTTCATTGAACGATCTCCCTCTCTCTCTCTTCTTCTCTGTCTCTCTCTCTCTCTGTCTCTTTCTTTCTCTCTCTGGCTAAGTTGCCTGTGCTTTGTGTTCGTTCGTTTTGTTATTGGTTCGTTTTGTTGCTTGGCTTTCAATTGCTGCCGCTGAATGCGACTTGTGGCGCTTTTTTGTGTTCGGTTTTGGTTCAGTTCGCTTTCAGTTTGTCAACGCGTCGCATGCGCGTCTCGTGAGTTAAACGAAATATTTTCGAATTTTGTAATACGAATAAAAAATTAGCATACGAAAGCAGTGCAAAGTGAAAATCTGTGTGGAAATACAGAAAAATACCGAAAGTATTATTCAACAGCTTAAGCAAGTGGCACAGACAAGGCGAAGGCGACCCACCCACAACAAAAACAACAAGTTGTTAACCCTTTTTTGCTTGTCATGTCGCCCTACGCCACCTGCATAATACTGCTGGGGTTGCTGTCCCTGGCACTAAGCCTCAATGCAGGTGGGTGCCCAGATCCTGTGCGTGCACTTGCATGAATGTGTCTGCTAATTAAGTGTGTGCTAACGTTGAGTGGCTCGCTTTAAACCGGGTTCACTGAACCAATGAACCACCCCACCACCAAGGGGAAAATACTCATAAATTCCATTTCAAACAGCAGTCAGTAGAATAAAATCAGAAAATTAAAGACGCACTATTTGTTGATACGATTTGAACAGTTTCCTTTGTTGTGCCCCTTGGCAAACATCAATCATAAAACTCAATTATGGAGCGATAATCAATCAATTTCCTTGTTGACCCCAATTGATAAGTCTCTATTGGCATTGTCTGTGTCATTATCAGTGTTGTTGTCATGATGCACTCATCTGGACAGCCGCGCAGCCTCTATAATGACTCTTAATACGCTATTGATTGGCTGTCGCCTCACGGGCGTATACTTAACATTGCACATTGCTTGAAGTGTCTGCAGCAGATTACTTCATGATTTATTTTTATTTATGCGCTTGTCGGCTAACGTATTTATTTATACACTGGCAGCACTGGCAGCACTGGCAGGCCTCGTGCCGTTTGGAAAAATATTTTCTCAGCCTGAAAACTTGAAGACATTTTCAAGACATAAATAGAGCGCATTAAATGGGGCTAACTTATATAGATATGTATATGCAAAAACAGCTACACACTCTATCTACTATACTATATATGAATGTTCCTTCATTTTCATCACTCTCAAGAAAATCATCAATAAATTGCAAATTATAGACCTCAATTGATTAAGGCATACTATACTATATTAATTGAATTGAAATGTGTAAAAAGCACGTCGACAGCAGCATTTTAACAGTTGCAAATTCACTTGGTATCTGAAATATTTTTACATTCTCAACAAGAAATAATTAATATATTCGATGCAGAAAAGGTTTTAATATAAAGGATTAGTTTTTGAATGATGAAGTAGTACAAATAAAGTGTTTTGATATTTAAGTTTTGTTAAATTCAATTTGTAGAATTAGATAAATATATTTGATTGGACTCATTTGACTTTTTTTATGTGTTGCTTGCCACCCACAGTTCTTGCACCGTCTTGTAACTTCACGATGTCGTCATATCTTCTATTTGAAGTTGGTGTATTTGAATATGGGAAGTTTTTTTTGGGCGTTCACCTCAAATTTGGGGCAAATTGTCAGCCAATTTGTTATTTTGGTGTCCACTCGGCAACTTTGGCATACACACCTCAATAAAAATTGTGGACCCTGACAGTTTCAGTCTGGCGCACATTCCATTAGCAACCATGTTTTTTTTTTTGTTTTTGTTTTGTTTTTTTTTGATGCTTGCAACTAATTGTTTATATTTCGCCGCACCAATTTCCGAGTTTTCATAGGCAAGGAATGCGCTTTTTGCTACGTTTTGCTTACTCATCGCATTTAGTTAATCTTCTGAAATGCCAGCCAAAACAAAGTAGTATTTCCAGCCATAATTCATGTAAATCTTCATAATTAATATAATCGCTGGATATATATGTGAGTTTGATTGCTGCCAAGCCGAAACTCCACAATTAAGTCCAATTTCTTAGCTGACTAAGTGCGATTATTTTTCATTTGACATGCAAGTCATGTCATTCGCGTTTAGAGCAAATTGCTTGAGATACAATCAGAGCAATCATTATAATGCGAATCAACCCAGTAATCCCTCAAAAGCACACCCAAAGCCCCAAAAGCATGACAAAATGTCATCACTTTTAATCCGAATCGTGTAAGTCATTAAACATTTTCTAGCATTGCGATGAAATCTTTTTATGATATGCTGTAAATAAAAAATGGTTCAAAAATAAGTAATATAAAGTTGTGACAATTTGTGGAACACACGAAAGACCAGATCAATTAGAATAATATAGTGTCTAACTTTTAGCATAAGTAAGTCAGGAACAATAACTAAAAAACCATATCCTTAAGTCAAAAAGTGATAAATGTGTTTTAAACTTATCTTGTATTTTAAATAAAATTGTATATGTATAAGTAATAGAGAAATATTAAAAAAAAGTGTTTAAATTTGAGTCAGCTATTTGGAAAATATGCAGGGTATATTCTAGTTGGTCAACTATAAATTCCAGCATTCCATCATGATTTGCTTGCGTTTATGAGCGTATTTTTATAGTTTCAATGAGTTGGCCACATATTTATGGGTGTGAGTGCATAGCTTTTGGATTAATCCCCATAATATAGCATGTTAGATATTCCACTTGAATTTAAAATAACCCTCTGTAAATAACAAAGCCCCGCTCTTTTACTAACAACTATGGCACATTTCCATATAATGCACGTACAATTATATAAGCATTTGGGCCAACAACGAAACAATTTCAAATACGTTCGACAAATCGTCACAATTGCTGCTTGTCGTTTCAGTTTGCAGTTGGCACAGTTGAATGAACTTTGATTGTGTGTCAGTCAATGCAGCCACGTCCATTTTCACCATTCCACTAATACCCCCTCCCTCATTTGAGGGGTTCCAAAACTAAGTGCCCCTCTCGAGCATTTAGGGCCACACTCGTAAGTTGCCGATTTTATGGCAAAGATATGGCGCGGCATGTTGGCGACTTTCATTGTTTTTTTTTTTGTGGCGTTGCCAGATTGCTGATAATCTACACATTTTTACAGCACTTAAGCGCCACGTAACCCCAACAACAGTGCTCGACATAACTCCAAGGAAATCGCAACTGAAATGAATCCAGATAATGCAAAAGTTGCATGTGAACTTTAGCATGTGTGTCTTCGAGTTTGAGTGTGTGTGTGTGTGTGAGAAAGTCACAAGCCCAAGTTTTAGTTTATTGTTGCCGACTTTTCCATATGTCGTTAGTAACAGCAATTGGTAGATATAATATTACAGGGCCTCAAAGTGCATTCAACTTGGCTAATAACATAGGCGCGCCCCATGCATATTTACCTCTCTGGGCCCAAACAGCGAAAAGTCAAGAAAATTGATAGAAAGTTACTGTAATTTCAGTGAATTTTCATAGCATTGTGTTAAATGAGCCGTCGACAAGATTGGAATTGTGATTGGACTGAAAAATGTGTGGAAAATTGACTAGAATTGTATGGAAAATTATCAACAAATTGAGGCAATTTATTATGTTTGAAGTAAGAAAACGATTAGCGGCTTTCCATTCAAAATTTAATTAATATTTGATGCACAATTATTCTGGCTAAGAATCGATGAACAACAGTTCAATTGTTCACAATTTGCCATGTTATGTGAAATAGAAAAATTAAAATTTAATACAAATTATTTTTTCTTAGATTCAAAATCTTGTTGTGTCTACGGCCAACACAGAATACTTTTTTGAACTTTTACTTTTCAAATGGAAACCATTTTAGAAACCAAATGCAACTTATATGTATCCATTATGCATTTTTGGGTCGCTGTTTGGAACTGCCAAAACATTTGACATAAACGCACAAAACGCGCACAATATCAATTTTCATGTTGCATACAATTACAGTCATTACCATTAGTAAACTGCCACCGCAACTGCGCGCAATGCTACACGCATATAAACAATTTGGCCAACGATCTGACAATTCAACTGTCAATTAATTTCAATATATTGTAAATGATAATAATTTCTAAGCAATGCAAAACAAACTACGAACTTGGTTTGTCGGTGATTTTTTTTTGGTTTTTTGTTTTTTTCACATGCGTTATTCAAATGCGCAAAATTGTAATGTTTATGTTTGTTGTTTATGGCCAAATGCAGTTAAGAGGCAATAGAAGACGGCGGCCAAAACACGTTTCGAGTGCGTTAAGCTTGGCACACTTTATAGGCCAACTCGGGCCAGACCAGGCCTATACCGCCGGCTGTTGATGTTTGCTGCTTATCTGAGCTTTCATTTAAACGCACCTCAAAGTGTTGGTTAAGTGCATTTAACCTGAACGTTAACGTTTGACGTTTAAATTGGCCCCGCAAACGGGTTTCGATAGTCGTCAACATCAACATCCGCTCAACATCCCGTGTGTCTCCAAGAAAATCTCAATGCCAATTAAGAATCGCTGCCTCAGTTGAGTCGCATATTTGCTTCCAAATAAAATGTTTAATAATTATTTACACGCTCTTTGGTTAATTCGTGCGCATAAACCATTCGAAAAGCCGAAAGTTTTGACACTTTTATAAGGCAGTTTTCCAATCGACTGTCCCATAAATAACTCAGCCAAAAGGCTCCCGTGTCTAATTAATATCAGCTGCAACATTTTTCAAAAGCCACCGCCAACGGGCTAAACTACAAATCGCAGCAGGCAACCCAGCTAGCCACCTTACCTCATGGCCCATTATTTATGCAAGTGCATATCAAAAACATCGCTGGATTGTATTATAGCCCCCCCATAACAACTCACTTACTTTATGATTATCTCATGCACATAATTCTAAGTTCAGTATTGGCATTTCAATTAGATTCGCTTCAAATGGACCTCCAAATTCTACATTATTCTATAATGAGCACTAATAACTTTCATACGTGACTTGAATGGCATAGTTTTGTCTCTAGCGAGTCACACTACACTCAATTTACTTTCTTAGATCTTAGATTGGAATATTCAAAATGATGTTTTTCACTTTATCATATATCGCATGTGCTGCATATTGAAACTCTGTAAAAATATATAATTGATTTTGAAATATTATTTAGATTAAAGATTGCTTTTATTAGACCCTTAGCAGCGATACTAGATTAACTTTATTTTCACACAATTTGCAAACTGAGGTTGCTGCGGGAAATAGATAAGGATGTTAATAGGCTGCCAGAAGTCAACCGATGCAGTTCGCGCTCAAGAACAAGGATTATTATACCTTTGCAGAGTATAGAATATTTATTCACCTTTAGCTGAATCGACACTTAAAACAATTTGACATACCTTTGAAGCATTCCAAGTCGATTATTCTCACAACAGTATATTGATTATGTTCTACAGATATTAATTATATATCTTTCGCTTTCAGCCTCTGGTGTTTTACGCTGCTGGCGCTGCTCCACAGATGTCTCGAACGGCGAGTTCTGCAATGATCCCTTCCAGCCGGACAGCATCTCCGAGCAGCAGCGCTACTGGAGCTATGTGAACTGCACTTATTCCGTGGGTGTCAAGTCGGTGAATGCGCGGCCCGTCTGCAAGAAACTCGTGCAGGAAGGTAAGCAGCAAAACCACAGACCACAGACCACCAACAGCAACAGCAACAGCAACAGCAACAAAAACCACAGTCCACCCATAGACCACATAGATCTGAGATAGGCAATTATTCAGCAATGCCCGTTGGACTGTCAAATGTGCATTGTTGTTGTGAGTGGAGAGACCCACCGGTGGCACACAAACACCCGCGTGACTGCCGCCTGTTGTTGGCTGCCACAAAGCGTCAAACAAGATTGAGATTTATTGGCCTGACAAAAGTCGGCAACAAGTGCAACATACAAATCCACAGAGGCAACCGCAACAATTGCGATAGCGAGCGCTGCAGCTGGAGCTGTTGGGCGTTGATGCTGGCGAGGAGGCGTGGCTGGTGCAACGGCACACACAAGTGGCGGCGACACTTGGCCTCAGACGGGGCAGGCAAGTTCCATGCGCCGCTAATTTTCAGCAAATTTATGTGGCGAGCACACAAACTAAAAGAGACAGAGAATCAGCGAGAGGGACAGAGAGAGAGAGAGAGTGAGAGAGAGGGACAGAGAGAGAGAGAGAGAGGGAGATAAAACGATCGGCGACACATGCGGCGCATGAGTGATATTCGTGTTGCAGTCGTCGATCTTTGGCTCTGGTATTTTTCGCTTTTTATTGTTCAGCTGGCGGCTAGTGCGAATTGAACCGCTTGTTGCCATTTGCATTTGACAAGCACAAACAGCAACAGCAACAGCAACAACAATAACAACAAATACCAGTGACAAACAGACAAAAGTGCACATAAAAAAGCGAGCAAAATGTGATTTTCTACGCTGGTCAATTTGCCAAACGTTGCGTATCGTTGCATTTTTATCTAGCTTTGATATTTGTGGACAGTTTTCGCTGTTATTTTCCATGCCAGCAGTCGCACTAGCGGAATCATTCATTTTAATGCCCTTTATTTCACAGTCTTGTATTAAGTGGGTCAACAAAACAAACGTTGTTTAATGCAATGAAATAATGAACAATTGGCCGTTTGCAGGTAAAGACTACTGTTCAAGTTATCTCACAGTGGAGCTTCCTTATACTAGTTTAAATTATTGCAATATTGAAATATTGAAGAAGCTTCATCGTATTTCTTACATCTAGCCTTGAATTTCCATGCTCAACTGGCAAATAATAATAATTGGCTAATTAAAGGCATAGCAAACGGTTGTAATCTTATCGATTGGCATATGATTAAGTGCCGGCTTATGCGAACTGCATTTAGCTAATTTCTTATGGCCAATTAATGAACACCATTAAATATTTGCAATCAACCGTCTACAAATTGGCGCTGCGAATATTTGCAAAACTTTGCGGCTGGCAATTAAAATTGCAAACTGCAAATCACAACTGAGACTCTGTTTTTGAGTCGCCAAATGAGCAGCGGCCAGATGCGAGTACACAATATCCGAATAAACTAAGCTGGAAAAGCAGACAAAAAAATAAAATGTATATATATAAATTAATTAAGTTGTTGCACAGCGTGAAGCGCTCAATTACGGCAATGAGAGCTGCAGACTGACAGAGACAGAGACAGAGGCATAGACTGAGACTGAGACAGAGACAGAGGTAAAATGCTAGCTAAATGTCTGAGAAAAATGCAACTAGGCGATGCTGCAGTGGTTGTTGCTGCTGCTGCTGTTGCTGCTGCTGGTCAATTTATATGCCGTTAAATTAATTGCTTATGAAGTTTGGGCCGACGAGTGGCTGAGCTTTTGGCAAATGTCAAATTAAAAATGTATTCCATAATTCCATAAAACTAACAGTCAAGCCAAGCAATTAGCTATTAACATTAAGTTTGTGTCTGTGTGCGTTGCATTTTAGTTGTCACTGTGCGTCACTGGGCAAATATTTTGCAACTTGTTGCATTTTGGCTGACCGAAAAGTTGTCGTTGATTTTTTGCCTATTTTTGACCAATTGCGTTGGTTTCTTTTTTATTTTTATTTTTATTTTTGTTGTTGTTATTTTTGTTGCTGCTCTCTCGATTTTGTTACTGTGCGTAAAATGTGGCCAACCACAATTTCAACCAATAAATAATTAAATTAATTAGAATTTAAATTTATGACACAATGCAACAATTCCAACTTGGTTGCAACCGACGCACACGCGTCGTATTCGCAATTTTTGAAGTGTTTTTCTTTTTTGTTGCGTGTGTTTTTTTTTTCGGCAATTTTCTTTGGGCTCTGCAGCTGGAAACTGCATTCTGTGTACCTTGTTTGATGCAGTGGCCGTGATAAGGCGACAATTGTCAACAATTTTATTAGAGACTTGTACTCTATCTGTCTGTACTTCCCCCGTTTACCCCTCTTCCCCCAGGGTCTACATCACTCACTCACGCACTGTTTTCTTACCGTCTCGCTCGCACTTAGTGTTAGCGGCTGCTTCTTGGAGCCAATCACAAAAATGGTCAACGCGCACCTTTTTGAGCCGCATTTAAAGTTTTATTTCATTTTATTGCGATTTATTTTTGCTTGATTTTTGTTTTATATATTTTTTTTTATTTTCGTCTGTGTTTGTCTCTCTTGCGGCTTTGCAGTGTTCTGTTTGCGAAACAGACACACGCAATGAGAAAACGCAATTTGTTGTGCATTTTTTTTCTGGTTTTCGTTTGCCGTTTCGCTGATTGCAAATTGTCTCGTTTTGCCGAGTCTTGCATTCATTTTTTGGCAGTGTATGCCGCAGCCAGCTCTCGACATAGTCGCAAGCCTTATTTTCAACTTATGCGTTTTTGCTGAGCGTCATGGCCTAGCCTAGCCTGGCCTGGCCTGGCCTGGCCGGGCCTAGTCGGATCTAACCCAGCCTGGCCGGGCAAACGGTTGTTCAGGTTGCATGTGTTGCGTGCAGAAAGCCTTGAACCCATTTTGGCTAGTTGTCCGTTTGCTTTTGAATTAGTTTTAGTTCGAATTCGCTGGCATTACTTATGCGACTTAAGTAAAATTTAATTAGCTTTCACATGCTACCTACAGCGAGCCAAATCTTTGGAGAACTGAAAGTTTTAACATTCGAATTGAACCAAGCTAATTCAGCTGTTAAAAAGACTTAAATAATATGTTGTCTTATATATAAAAAATTGCTTTGGGAAGAAGAAAAATAAGCTACAGATATAATTGGAAATTGAGAAAATTGTATTAACCAATTAAGAAGCTCCGGAAAACATTTTAAAAGGCAGTTTATTCACAGCTGTTTGGCGCCAGTATGCATAGAACAAGGTCTTCTTAGTGCAATACTTTTGTAACTATCATTAAACTACAAGCTTAACTCGTATACTCAAAGTACAACATTCAACGCTCGAACATTTGTTTACGATTTATTTATTTGAGAACTTAACCAATTGCATCACAGCTTGGCTATTTGGCAGACAGCCATTAGTTAGCACCTGATCGACGATTTGGACGACATTTGAAATGACATTTTTGAGATAAGTTAACGCAAGGCGAAAACAGAATGTGGAAACGTGAAGCCCACGCAAATAGCGAGGCACATAAATTATATTTAATGCACAGCATTATTTGTTGTTTTTGTTTTGTTCATTTCGCAACAAACACTTTAATTAAAATTGCTGTGAGCAAGTATTTTAAAGTTTATTTCGACTTTCGTTTCGTTTCATTGCAGTCTATGGGAAGCGAGTGATTTCACGCTCGTGCTTCTACGAGGATGTGGATGACCCGGCAGACAAGTGTGCAATGGACACTACCTCGTCCTACATCAAGACCGTTTATTGCCGCACGTGCACCACCGATGGCTGCAACTCGGCTGGAGGACTCGCCGGTTGGATGGGACTGCTGGTGTTGCCGCTGCTTGCCGCTCTCAGGCAGCTATGCAAATGAGCCAATGAGTGGAAAATTCAGTCGTGGGTGGAGACTGCACTTAATTGCATCATGCAAATGAAAAACTGAATTTAAAAGTTGAGAGTCCTTCAAGCTAAAATACATACTTACAAAAAGCAACCAATTCTTGTTTCGCCTAGTTAAGTCGCGTTATTTTAACTTATTTGAGACAATTTGCCTGGCCTGCAAAATTTTCTAATACAAATTCACAACAAATATCAGCACAAAATATCAGCACACAACAACTCGCAGTCACTCATCGCTATATATATATATATATAAATACCATAAAATTATCATATAGACAGACTATACACAAAAATAAACTAAACTGTAAATGTTATGTAGCTGCAGAGCAGTCAATGCTTTCCACTTGGTCAGATCATAGAGTCAAACGATTGTATTCTAATTACATATTAATTGATTATCACATTTAATTAATTCACACACTCACACACACACACTCACACATATATAAACCTAAAATATTGACCTTTGTAATATTGTATTACTTATTTTAAGTGTAATTGAAGCACTTTTCTATGGTGTCTTACAAATAAATTGATTAGATGGTACAAACATTCGAAAACATATTTGTTTTTACTATTATAAATGAACTTTTCACTTACATCACATCATCATAATAATAAAATTAAATTATATTCCAATTATATGTCACATTTAATTGAATTCAAACGCCTTAACTTATTCCGTAAGGGTTCCCTTTAAGATAAATAATTATTTTTTCCCTTACAATTTCCCGTTCAGGTCCCCATTTCTTCTGCCCAGCCCACGTTACTTGAAATTATTTAATTTAAATCAAAAGTAATTGTCTCACATCATTGCGCTTGACATTGTGCAAGCTACAAAGATACAAGATATAAAATTGTATGCTGAATTCTTGCCCCGTTTCTTTCCTGATGTGTCATTCAATGTGGTTCAGCAGTCGGCATCAGAGCGGAAATGAGTTCAGCTCTGAGTCTGCCCACATTTAAGAGTTGTTTAGTTAATTGCCAACCACGCAAACATGTCAATGCCAGCGCTGACATTTGACCCGAGCCAATTGAGTTTTTGATTTGTGCGAAACATCTTCAGGTTTGGCTTTGTTGTGGGAGTTCTTGCGAGCACCGCCCTGTGGCATGTGTATTTTATTATATTTAATTAAAAGCGCATAAAAAAATAAACAAAAAAAAAACAACGAAAACTGTCAAGCTAAAACACACAAGATAGAATAATCTACGCGAGAGGAGTCGATTGGGAGATATCCCCTACTGCTTGGACTAACATAAAGTATCTTATCAAATATGAAGGAAGTAAAGCTTTGAAAACATTTATTTCATGTGATTTTCGAAAATATATAACGCATCTCTGCTGAGTGTCTCATATTAAACATTATTTTTGCATATTGCACATATTATCATAACTTATTGAAACCCCTTTTACACATTTTTTTACATGCGTGGCATAAAAAGACAAAAAAAAAGTGGGTGGCAACTAAGCCAGAAAAACGTTTTGGCCATTTAAACTTGTCGCACGGTTTGGATATGGTTTTTATTATTATTTGTACTTTTTTTTATAAATACATACATGCAATGTATGCATTTTTTTGTAAGCTTTTTTATGACGTGTCCAGCGAAAATGTCGTACAGCTTATGCAATAAAACTGACCATTTATCATGGAGGGGGCATGGAAAAAATTATAAATCGACATTGTTCAGCGTTTCAGCTGGCTATAAATGTTACGCATACGCCCCAATGGCCCCAGGCTGGCTGTCAATGGACACCACGATCGACTGGTCGACTAGCTGGCTGGCTGGCTAGCTGGCTAGCTTTTTGTAAGCCTAGAAGTCTAAACCTGCCGCCGTGCTTGAGTTTATGATGTGATTTGACTTTTTATTGCTGCGGCTTAGGCTTCGACTTAACCTCCTAATCCGCTTCGAGCATTACATTTGAAATTTAGTTGCTGGCCCGGCCCAGCTCAACTCGACTCAACTCGACTCGACTCGACTTGACTCGACTTGGCTCACTCCGCCAATCAACTCCAAGTGCGGCGATGGCGTCGCTCTTGATCGCTGTTTAATTTGGTGTGCGTGCAGCTAAAACGCAACTCAGCAAGTCACATTTTTCACGCTTTGTCAAGTGTTTTTGGGTGCAGGAGGAGTCAGTCGGCTACTGCTGGCTAATGCTGCAGCTTAATGTCAACATTTGCATATGAAATCATATATTTGCTGGCTGTGCCAGAGACTTGAACACCAATTTTGGCAAAAGAGTTGCCCAATTTGGCCATATACTGCTCACAGTTCAAGCCACATGGGTCAAAATGTGTGCGTGGCTGCAAAATGAATCACAAACTGATGCGTTGATTCACTGCATTAGCTAGCACAAATAATTTATTTATTATATATGCATATGTCATAAAATTACAGCACGTAGCCTCAAAAATGTAGCAATCAGTGGAAAAAGTATGAATTTAAAAAAGAAGTAATAATTATTTTCGTAAAATCAGGAAAATTAATATGTTCTCTTCTTGATTGAGCATAATATTACCTTAACTTAACTTTGCTTACATCAAAAATAAATTAAATAATTCTAAATTAATTGAAATAATTCAAATTTCAATGTATGTAATATAATAAAAATATAGGTTTATAACCTCTTCAATATGATCCGATTTGGTGTTTAATGTAATGTTCTGTAAAAGTACGTGCTAGTTTATTAGAAACATATTAAATTTGATAACAATTTTTATATTTTCTCAATATTTCAATATAATAAAAACAATTTCGTTAAATATAAGCTCCGCTCTGCTCACAATGCAATAACGGTTTTTGCATAAGTCTACGCATAAGCGAAACTTAGGTGAAAGCTTTAGTCGCCAACTTAGCAAGGTTTCGCACCACTTTTAAGTTGACCATGCAACCCAACTTGTGAAGCGGTGTGGTGAAATTTCAAGTTCAAAAGTTTGGCAAGCAATCAAAATTTCTTAAGCAAATTCCTCTGGGAAAAAACTTATTGAATAGTTTTAAACTTTATTAAAAAGCAATTTGTAGAATTGTATAATTATAGAATTCTTTTTCCTTATTTATGATCATAAGACATTCAGAAAAAGCTTCCATGAAGGGCTTGATGAATATTTTTATTAGTTTAATATTTGGCAAACAAAACCACTCTTTTAAATATTTGATTCGGCAAGCTTAGATGGCAGCAGCATGGGGCATCCCCAGGCAACGTCATCATTACTCTGCGACACAGACAGAGCAACCTTGCTGCCGCAGTCGACGCTGCCGCTGGCGTTGGCGTTGGCGTCGACGCTGACGTCAACGCTCACTGTGGCAGTGTGGCAGCATAGCCTGCGGCTCGCTGGGCCCGCACAGTCGTCAGTCAGTCGAGCAACCGTTTGCATCGCGAGCCGTTTTCAAAATACCATATAAGCGCATTAGCAAAGAGTTGGGAAGCCGCACAAAGGATATACAAAAGGAATCCGGTAGCCCGTCTTGTGTCTTGTTTACCGAAAAGCCGGCGCCACAGTGTCGCCAACCCGTCTACCTTCCTGTCTTGTAGAGATTTTCTTTAGATAGCATTCTCAGCGCGAAACCTAAAACTACTTCAAACTATGTCGGCGCCTATTAAATTTATTATTGCTGGCTTTTGCCTGCTGGCTACCGCCTACAACATCAGCGGTGAGTTAATAGTCGATCGTCACAAATTGCACGTGGCTTGAGTGCATTCATAAACATAAAAAAAAAGATATTCAATTTGTTATTAATTTTGTGCCAGTTTCGGTTTGTGGCATGTTTACGTGTAATTACATCTGGGCCGGCAAGGTCAGCTTTAGTTAATTTTGGGTGTTCTTCAACATCATTTCCATAGTGAAAAGTTAGCTCTCAGGTGCGTTTCTTCGTTCACTTCAATGAATGAAACGCTTCAATTGGCTTTTGAGTTTGTTTATATGTATTTTTGTGTTTTCCATTGCTTACTTTTTATTTTGTGGCAAATTTTTACGTTTTTCTTGAGGTGTTTATAATAGATGTACCAATCTTCAAATATAGACTCCCGACAATAGATTTTAATAACTCAACTGAAAGCCATTAAAATAATTTCACACTTGCTAAATAACATATAGGTTAATTTGCTTTTGACTTAAAATCAGAATTATTATCTATATTTTCTACATTTTCAAATTTGATTACTTTTAGACAAGACAGAAGCAAATATTAACAATTGAATGTCAGAGAAAGCTGTTTAAACTGTTTTCGCACCTAACACGAATAATTCATAATATTTAAAATTTATTTCTGTTTTATGGTATACAATATATCATAAACAAATTGCTTTAAATTGGAAGAGCAGTCGATCTTTCAAAGTTTCAAGATGCGCAACATTTTAAATTTTACGCGTTGTTTGAATTCAAAAACTATTTCAGATTAATTATGGCTATTTTATGACATAGACAATATTCGAATTTTAAGAAAATCGTGGATTTTTAAGAAGTACTTATAGCTTTATATGGATAATTAAGAGCTATTAATTCAATCAATTTGGAGATTTAATATTTTTACATCTTTGTATACCATTTTTAAGACAACTCATAATCAATTCCACGCCAAAAGGGCTTGGCAATCTGTCAGCTGAACCACAGAATGTATCCCTTTACTGTCACGCAAACATTTTGTAGGTCAGTATACACAAATTTTGAGCACTTTTTATACACATGTGTATATATATATATATATATATATATATGAAATGTGTATGTATGCGTTACTATAAGGCGGTATTTCTGTGATTTTCACGCTGCTCAATGATTGGCATGGAAAGGAAATTTGGAATGCATATTGTGTATTTTTGTTGGTTTATTGAATTTACAAATATATTTGCCAAGCTATTTGCTTTTATTCATGCACATGCAAATATGCCGTGCAAAATGCATATCCATGCAGTCATTAAAAGTTATGATAAATGAAGTAATCAATTGATTTAAATTTGCTATAATTGTACATTAATTGGCTGATGAACAAGGAACAACAAATTGTAATTAATTGAAATTGAGGCTGTTTTGCAAATGGAATTTAGCGGATGCTGCAAATCCTTATTTAATTGCTTATTCAACTTGCTAAATCCGTAGGTGAATATGTGCTTGTCCTCTAATTATCTAATTGGCTTGAATTTAATCGGAACCCCACTGCGCATCCGTTGGAATCAGTGCGCATGTCAAACTGGCGCCGGAACGTCGTCTGCTCCAGTTTCCAACAGCGTCTAGCAAAACTCTTCTCAACTGTACTCTCGGTATCCAGCACAGATTTCCATCCCCCTCCTTCCCCACTCAGCTGGAGGCATGGAAACTATGTCACAGACCAAACTCGTCTTGTGTGTGTGTGGGGGTAGATTGAGATTGTGTCGAATTCCTTGGCATGAATTGCGTAATATGTGGACAACTGATAATGAGGAGGCGTTGCTCGGCTTGCTGTCATTTGAAATGAGCTGCCAAACAGGATGTGCAGATTGAACACGCTTCACAGGATACTTGCCCCCACCTCCCTGTGCACTACCACTCTACCCAGCAACATTTAATACGCATTGCCCTGGGTTACTTAATTGCAGGCGACAATAAACTTCCGATGCGTATCAAATTATGCCATGAATACATTTTGCTTGACAGCAAATTTATTTATTTATCGTTCCTTGGAGTGGTAAGTGCGGAAGCCTTTTCGACTGTATGTTGCAATTTTCGAGATAGGGGTTGCAAAAGCCCATATATCAGATAAAAAAATTTGCATGTAGAGTAAGCAACTTCCTTGATGTTTTCAATTGCAAGGATTCGATTATTCAATGCTAAAGTTCACGTATGAGATTAGTCGACCAACTTAATACCCTTGAGCCTCGAACCTTTTCAAACGATTAATGTTATATATATGCACTTTAAATATATAAAAACTCTTTAGCCAAAGTGGCTTATACTGTCCCTCTCTGATCGCATAATCTGCTCCCAAATATATCTTAAAGTCCCATCACTTTTCTGCTTAAAACATCAATTTGTACACTTAGCCATTTTGTCTAATTATAGAACGCGGAAATTTTGAAAATGACCGTGCTTTGCAATTGAGGTGAAACAATCAATTACTCACACCATAAGAACGACTCTACCATAGTAGTTAGCTGGCAACCTGTCCAGGCTTGTGGCATGAACGTGGGCGTCTGGCTTAAAGGGGCAGCACACAGCAGTAATAATAACAACTCCTTATACATGTGCCACTTTTGTCTTGTTGGCCGACAGTCGAAGGTCGCGCGAGTGACGTTCAAATTGCCCATAAATTCTTGCAGTCGGGCAACAATTCATAATATTGTAATTTAATATAGTTACAATTTTCAAAATGAAATGCAAATGTTTTTAGAGTCAATATTTGACACCTCAAACCAAGCCAAGCTTTTCAGCAGCTGACTCCGGTTGCTGCCATGACGCGTGTCAAGGTCCCGAATTTGACAACAACAACTTGCTTTAGATTTACGGCAAGTGACTTTTAATAGAATTCCAAACGTGTATGGAAATTTTTGTACATTGCCTTTTGTAAGTCCCTCCCCTTAGCCTAACCCTTATCATCAACTGACCACGTTGCTTTAGACATGCAAACACGTAGAGGCCAAAAACCATCTAGATCTTCAGCGCTGTCCGAACAAAAGCAAATCACGCATATCTAAGTGGGAAGAAAATGTTAAATAAATGGATTTGCATGTTTGTTTTGACCAGCAGTATTTTCCTGGGGACTGTCGATTTCATTTTGGCCCCCCTGGTAATGGTAAGCGGCTTAACGAATTTTTAATTTTATACAAATGAGTTCCAAAAATACTTTTATTCTCAGTGTGTGCCATTGCACTTATTCGTTAATCAATGTTTACCAAAAATCGAATTTAATTTAAAACAAATTATGTAGAAAACATAAATAAACACAGCACAAAACAAGAAAGAAAGTGATCATAGTAAGTTAGGCGAATCAATCAGCAACTGAGGAAATAGCGCTGAATGTTTTTTAATTCGTAAAAATCCGCACTCAACAAAAATGTGCCACAATTATTTTGTAATTTTGTTTGTTTATTTGTCGAATTTGAGTAAATAAATAATTTTCATAATTATTTGGATTATTTTGTTATTTGTAAAAATAATGTATTTTTTAAATAAATACTGCAATACTACGGAAAAGTGACTATGGTTCATATCATACTATTCTTAAATGCTATCACGTCTTTGGTCTAGCTTGACAATTTATGGCAAATTTTGCAACTCAAGTTTTTAGTGCTCTGCCAAATGACGGCACGTCCACACTATGCAGACATCAACTAAATCTCGCATATTTTCAACTAGGACTTCGTTGTGTATACGTAATAAAAAATTAATGAAGGCGCCTCTTTGACTCGCTACGCACAATTCACTGTCTGCCACGCTGGTTGCTGAATCAATACGAAATGGGGGTTGGTCCAAAGTTTGTGAGTTGGGGGCACATAAAAGTCAGTTCGGATTGTTTTTGGCAATGAACATGATGATGTCAACATTTACAAATGCTGGGTTGATGGGTTGAATTCGCATAAAATAACTGTAGGCGAATATCAATTGAGGTCAGACCATTAAGGTCGTGTAGTAAACTGAATAATCTAATGATTATCCTTGTTTGCTCTCACAGCACTTGAACATCAGCATTTGCAGTGCTGGCACTGCAGCTCGGACACCATTGGGGCGGAGGACTTCTGCGATGTGACCTTCCAGGAGGATAATATACCCACGGAACTGATAAAGGAGCGCAACATAAACCTGCAGCGCACCTGCAACAGTACCATCAACTCGGATCACGAGCGTCCTGTTTGTCGCAAAACTGTTGAAGAATGTGAGTAAATTTAAGATAAATTTAAATGCTTTTACTTATGAGCTGAATTTTACTCAACGGCAGATAATGGCAAGATCATAACTAAACGCTTTTGCTACTACACCAACAAGTCAGATCCAGTGGATCTGTGCAATGTGACCAGCCCCGAGAAGAATGTGCGTCGAATATTCTGCGAGGATTGCGTCACAGATCGCTGCAATGGCGCCGCCCGTCTTGTCGCCATCTTGGCAGCCATTTTGCTGCCCGCTCTGGCCGTGGTCCAGCAGTTGTCCAACTAGGCGACAATCAAGCTACAATTGTATCTCTATTTTAGTTGGAACGTGATATTTTGTTTAGCCCCGTTTGCTAAGCCAACTGCTGATTAACATTTAAATTTTACTTAGTTTAGTTGTAGACATATTCCTTCGTAGTTCTTTCAATTTAAGACCTAAGTTAAAACTCTCTATTTTTAAACATAATTTTAAACTCACTTTAGATTTTGCTTAAATAATTTAAAATAAAATAATAAAAACAAATCTGATAAACAAATTAGTCAACTAGCTTCGCTTAACAACAATGTTAACAAACAAACAACACAGCAGCTATTTATTGTTCTATTAAAATACATATACCACAAAAATAATAATAATGTAAACAACAAAACTTTTAATGTACAAGTCAAACACCGCATGCATTCTTCAATGTATTTATCACAGTTGTATAAACCAAACACACACCTAATAAAGTTCATTATCTATGTGAAAGTTGCTGAATATTTCTTATTTGGACGATCTACATATAATTTAAAATTCAGTGTATTATGTCAAATTCTGATGAGGTTATGACATGGAAACATATCAAATAATTTGTTGATATGAGTTTGCTTAGATTGCTCAGTTTTTGGTCTTGTTGTTTCAAAGGCAGTCTTTCTTCAGGTATTACCAATTCTTTCGCAGTTTCTGGCCAAATCTTTAGTTTAGTTAAATGTACAAAGTAATAAATATCTTTAGTTAAATGTACAAAGAAATAAGTATCTTTAGTTAAATGTACAAAGAAATAAGTATCTTTAGTTAGAACAGGAGTTGTCTCTTCTTCTCTGTTCTCCCCTGTAAGTTTTAATAGTTAATTACCTTATCCCACTAAGTCGAACACATCTTGATGTTAATTAAGCGACCTACTTAATTTAAAAGCAATTCACTTCGACCTCATTTCGTGCCTGTCACTTTGTTGTGTCTCAATCGGTGCTCTCAATCTTGGCCCCTTTGTCACTTGTCAACGCTGTGCTGGCAATATCTTTGTTTAATCAATGCAAATGGCAAGTCCCCCCTATGGCAAACACTGCCACTTTAATTAATTTAGATCTTGTGTTAAGGATTGGAAGTTAAATACGATTAACCTTGCCTACGAAGCTATAGAGGTCCTATATAGTAATAATTTCAAAATAGCTAACGATGTTATTCTTACTTCAACTCATATCCGTTCGCTATTCAAGTGAAATTTGTACAAGTCTTTAGGTTCTTGGATAGTAACAATATCCTTGAAAGCAGTTCATTAAGAGATTGTCCTTTATATATATACTTTTAATATATTTATTGGAGGAATCTAGGCTCAACATTTTTTAGCTTCCTTCCGAATCTTGGGAGTTCCCAGTCTATTTTGAAAATCTGTATGCGGGAATCGTAATTTTTCTTTTGACTCAGCCTGAAAGTATGCCACGTTTTTTTGCTTGCGCTTAATTTAGCCAATGCAGATGCGAATGCTATCTTAGACAACAACCAGCAACGATTTCGATAAAGTGATCATATTTCCCAAATATTTCCCAAAAGACAAATAACCCATTTTTGGTAATAAAGTGTATTTTTATTAGTAAAAGCTTCATATATACTAGATATCTAAGGCTTTATTACTTAAGTGAATTAATTATTGTATACAAGATCTGCAAGGAAGCCATTTTATTACAGGATTTACAATTGTTTGGGATGGTTAGTTATCTGATATCTGAGCTTAACACTCAATATTATAATTATACTACAGATACTTGAGTAGATATTCGATTATGGCAGCGTCGCAAAGGTTGGTGGTGCTTGTATAATAGCAAGCTTGTAGCTTGTAGAGTAGCAGGTCCTGTAATAAGTAGAAGACAAATGTTTAGCTCATATTATGATATCTTGGAATAAGTTCTTACCATGTGCCTTTAATTGAATTTCGCGCAATTTACTTAAGGCTTTCTGAGAAATGGATGAAATATGTATATATAACGCTACTCCACAATATCGCTTGAGAGCATGTCCTTGATTGCTAAAGTCGCTAAGTCCAAGGCTAATTCAATTAGGCAACAATTGACAAATTCAATGAGCCCTAAGCTGACCTCATTTCAAACTCATCCAACGGCTTCCTTCGTTCCCCTCAATCTCCAGCTGTGAGGTAATTGATACCCACTGTGTCAGCCTTTGGACAGCTTTTCACATCTAAATAAATCTGTGTAACAGACGGTTCTGTCACCCATGGCTTATTATCAACCCGTAGCAAGACAGAGAACCCCTCATTAAGTGTTTCTGATAATTTCTCTATTTACATATATATATATATTTAGATTAATGCACCATACTTTTAGGTGGTACTCATTGTTAGATGATAATTCAGAGTGTTTCACTCAATCGCACTGTAAGGATTTGTATAGCTCAAATAGCTTAACAAATTAACAGCGTTTGGACATGAAAAAGAATATTTGTTAATTCCAAAAGTTGTTAATAATATGTTGACAACTTTTTTTTGCCAGCCATACGCTAAAAAGTTGAAAACTAAAATGAATCATTCCATAAAATAAACTCAACTCAAGTATTCATAGTTGATATTCTCTGACAAATCATTTAAGCTATCAGGCATGGATCTAAGACATTTTAGTAGTAAATCTCTAGACATACATACTAATAGCTTCATTACGCACTGCGAATAAAATTTAACAAGATTTATATTTTATATAACAAATTATATTCTGTAAGTTATGCGGTGAGATTGTAGAGTTTTTAGTTCAAATAAATATGTAAATATGAAACAACAACTAATTTTTAGAATTGAATATATTTTTTTAACATATTCTCTTAACATTTTGTGCAAGTGGTCTAATTTTTTCTCTTAGTGTATGAGAAGCCGACAGCCTAAAAACTCGAGAACAAATTTATGGCTTCAAAACAAATAAATAAAAACAATACAATTGTCAGAAAACCGGTTTAACAATTATTCTAAGCATCTGTTTATAGCAGTTACATAAGACTATCATTTTCACTCGATTTCAAACTTGACGAAAAACACAAATTTTTATAAAAAAAAATTAAGAATTGTGATTTTAGTATATGACTAAAAAAAACTCCAATACCGAAATTCTAATTCAAAACAATGGCGCAGCGCAATCCGGTTTAACCGTTTTTTTTTTTTTATAAAATTTTATTATTTCCACTCAAAACAAATCCGAACTCGGAGCGAGCAGCGCAGTCGCCGTTGCGCTCAGCGCACTGACTGAGTGAAATGGGCGAATGGGGGGTGGTAGTTGTTGAGTTGTTGGTTTGGCCAGACGTCGACGTCTGAACGGGGCAGCAGAATCGTGAGCTTGTCAGACGTGCAGCAGACATTGTCAGCGGTGGTTGAGAGTTGTGCATTCAGAAAATTTTCCAAATCCCGTCAAATACAAAACAGTTTTTCAAAAATGGTGTCTGCCGTTAAATGTGGTTTGGCCTTGGCCGTTATGATTAGCTTGGCTTGTTCAGGTGTGTAATTATTTGGATTGTTTGTTTGTTTTTTTTTTGTTTTATTTTTGTGTACCTTCCCATAGACATTTGAATGATAATAATTTGCAACTAACTAACGTTTTTGAATGATTTGCAGCCTATGCCATCAAGTGCTACCAATGCGAGTCGCTTACAACACCAAAATGCGGGCTGAAATTTGAGGAAGATGATACCCTTTTGATAGATTGCGCCAGAATCGGACCACCGCGTTATCTTCAGAACTTCTTCCCGCTTCGCAATGCCACAGGCTGCATGAAGAAGACACTCGAGTCGGGTAAGTTCTGAAATCACACACATCTACTAACAACTTATCGGCAATCTGTGGCATTCATTATATGCTGCTCTCATGCGAGTACTTCGACTCGCATTATGCTACGACAATGATGTCATTTTATGGGTTTACATAGCTAGAAACTTTTTTTTTTTTTGGGCTTCTGGTTATTTTGCGCAGTTGCTGGATATGCATATTTGTGGCCATTGTCGCGTTTTCGTGCAGCTTCGTAAGATTTTGAGATTAATGTGAGAGCGTATATAAATAATAATGATGTGATTATTGCTTGGAATGAGCGTGAAATTTGGTTATTTACATATGCTCATATTTCTTTCCAATCGACTTAAGATTGGCTGCAAATGCCAGAACATTTATTGTTCACCATTTATTGTTCACCAACACACAAATAAAATCTATTCAATTTTATTTTTTTTCTTTATTGAGAAAAAATGTAATCAAATCTGCATAAGAATATATTTCAAAATTGTATTGTGTATTTTTGCGATGAGGACTTATAATTATTTGAGATTTAATGGCGATAATGAGCATGAGGTCATCAAAACAAATCGTGAACCAACTCAACCGCGAAACTGCTCCCAGCAGCAATTTGGCTTGAGTTCGTAAGTAAATTACAAAGCTCGTTGACTCAAGCACTTACCTGTTTTGTTAATAATGCGTCACAGATCGGAACGAATTTTCATATAGTAATTACGACCATTTTTTTTAAAAGTACATCGAGCTGTACAATCGGCTTCCATTGTTTATCAGAAAAAGGGCAAACAATGAACGTGTTTGTTTTTAATTAACATATGTTGTTTTTTATGCAAATAGTGAAAGTTTTTACTAATCATTTTTCTCACCTCTATTGTGATTTTCAGTTGTCGGTCACCCCCAGATCGTACGCAGCTGTTACTTCGGTGATGTGTCCAACATTCAGACCGGCTGCCAGTCGGATCCGTCGCTGCCCTTCGTCAAGCAACTGGGCTGCGATGTGTGCACCAAGGATGAGTGCAACGGTTCCACTTCCATTGCCCCCATCGCTGGAGCCGTTCTGCTGTTCTTCGGCGTGGCCCGCATGTTGGCCTAGATCTCTTGTACTATGTGGCTTTAGTTCTTAACTTTTTGTTATATATAAGCATATTTCTCTGTATCAACTGCAATTTTATTCTCATAGCTGTGAAATATTCTCGTTTAAATTTGTGCCTCTCCCATTTGCCATTGCAAGCAATAAAATATTTATGAATCATCTGTACTACAACTTTTTAATTACTTTTCATTTAAGTTTGTCTGATCTGCAAATTGATATTACTTCCGCCGAATATAACATAAATCAAATTGAATTCTTATTTTTGATGTTGGGGAATGCCTATTAGCAATTTAAGATACTTTTTGTAGGGAGACAAAAATATATTCGCTTTGCCTTTGATTGGATTGAATCTAGGCCATTTTACTTTATTGAATGTAAGTTGTAAAAGAAATGAATTTAATTATAACTGTTTTACAGGCTTTAAATATGTATAAATAAAATTAGCTTTTTGCTGGCAATGTTTTTCTTTAAATTATAATCAGATTGGTAAACACATAAGATGTATATATTTTTCAGATTTAGATTGTCGGTCTTTTTCTGTCTTGTCGTTATTATTTAATGTTTTCATATTTAGCTCTTGAAACATGCAAATGTATATTCGAATGAGACAGCTGCTGATATTCTAAAAAGCAGACTATGCCAAGCCTTCAAATAAAATATTTTCAGAAACACAAATTGATTGTTTCCTGGGTAAATATATATTATTATGTATATATATATATTATAGGTATATTTGCATCATAATATACATATTCATTAGAAATATTTACAATTTACATTTAATTTAGTTTAATTTACGAATATAACGCATTCTCAGAACGTGCTTATCGGACTGTCAATTAACTGGAACTGAGCTCATAAAATGCATGACTCATTTCAAGTTGCATGTTCAAAAAATGTCAAAAAAAATAACCGACCCAAGCCCAACACCTGAATATTCTAATTAGTTAGAGCAACAATAAAAACTGCTCATAAGTGTCCCAAAACTCAACAATGAAACTGAAAAGGTCATGCAATCCGTTGAACTGCCTATTACTGCCTTCATATGTGCGTGGGTATTTGAGTGTGTGTGTGTCTGCATGATTAATTATGTTTAATTGAGTTAAATTTGAATGTGCAAGCCGAGTCGAATTAGAGTTTACGAAGTGCTAAGCACATTTTACAATGCTCGGCGCGTTGAAAAAGGTCAAGAAACTTCAACTCAAGCTTCTTCCCGCTGCAGCTGCTCCTCAATTAACCCGAGCTCATTTGGAATAATTTCAAAATATTAACCAATTGAAGAGCATAGGAAATTATGTAGGTAATTTAAAGGAAACTCAGTGACTGCTTGGGAAAATCCACTTAAAGCAACTTAGAGGGCTCTAAATAAAATTAAAAGTTTCAGTAATGACAAACTGAAAGAATTTGTAATAATAATGAAAATATGTAAGTTTATTAAAAATCTAAATTAAATATCAAAATATAAATACTAAAATTTATATCAATATTATTTAACAATAATGACTTGATTAATTGCGTTTTTATTTAGCGAATATTCAAAATTGTATAATTTGTGTTCAAGTAATTTTGAGTGAGTGTTATTCTCTTTCGAAATACGCACCATAAAATGAAACAATAACAAATAAAATTTAAAAACTATTTATGTCCGAAGATATAATGCCCTTACAGAAAAAGTAATCTGATTGATGGCAATAATTGAAAAACATTTGTAATTGGCCCTAATACTAATAAATACATTACGAATAATTATAAAATATTTCTGGAAATTATTGATTACTTATCATTTTGATACCGTACCAAATGTATGTTATATAACTATTACGAAAGGTACACAAAAAATATATTTGAAAAACATGTGAAGAAAAACACGTTTGAGATATGGGTGTCGCATAATAATGAGATGGTTATAATAATGAAATATAGTTAAATACCAAACAGTCTTTTCAAAAATTTTTATAACATAGTGTGTGGTGTGTGTGTGTTGTGTGTGTGTTGTGTGTGTGTTGAGTGTGTGTGTGTGTGTCTTTATTTACATCGTGTCAAACGCAATAAGTAAATAAAGAAGACAAAATATGTCTGACATCACCCAAAACAAGTTTTCCGATTCGTAATATGTACACACAAAAATTGCGGTTGTATATTTCAATGTTTGTGTGTCAACGAGCAATCTTAGAGAGAAAATTAAATTAAAAACTGCCAAAGGCAAAAACACACGCAAACGAAACGAAACGAATATCACTCAAAATGTATTAGATGAGTGTGGGTTTGAGTGTGTGAGTGAGTTTGAGTGCGAATACAATTGAGCGGTTGCATGACAATGTTTTCAAAATGTTGGAAACCAGACGCCAAACAGTCGCCGAGCAGTTCAGATCTGAAAATTGTACTTTGCCTTACTCCACATTGCTTAGGTCGTATCATCCCTTTCGAGTGCTTCAAAATGGTGTCAAGTGTTGGGCATGTTCTGGCTGTGACCATTCTGGCCGCTTTGGCGTGCACGGGTATGCAACTGTTTGAGCTAGTTTTATTACAAGGATCTCTGTGATAATTGTGATTTTAATTTACAGGCTATGCCATCAAGTGCTATCAGTGCGAATCTGTAAGTAGTCCCAAGTGTGGCGAGCACTTTGAGGCTGATCCCGGTCTACTTCTGGATTGCGCACGTATTGCCCCACCGCGTTTCCTGCAGAGCATCTTCCCAATGCGCAATGCCACCGGTTGCATGAAGAAGAGCATTGATGGCGGTAAGTTCTATAAAAATACTCTTCCGTTCTCAGTTTAAATGATGTCATGAGCGTCCACTTGTTTTGTACATTTAATTAGCTTGATTAGGAACGGAGAGTGGGCGTCGCCCATGTCCATTATATTGGTCGTACAATTAACCTTCTGGGCGTATGCTCAATTTTTTATAAAAAAAATATATATATAATAGATATATATATGTACATAATAATGCTCTTAAAATATGAAGACATGCATATTTTTAAACAAATTTCTATGGAATACATATCAAATAAATTCGTCTTCTTTTTCAACAAAAGAGAAATATGCGTATTTATAAACTAATGATTCAATATTAAATATGTATGAAGTGACGACATTTTAGGAGACTTTGCATTCATGATAATGCGTATATGTATATTTGTATTATATACTATAAACATGTTTATGCCCAACCCATTTTGTTTTCAACCAAGCTAAAATGTGGGAACAACTGTGGGGATCGTGTGATCTAAACCGTTCAGCGAAGCTTCAATTTTACATTTTAAGGCAATTAGCGTTTACGTGATTGTCATCTAAAGTTGTTAAATTATTTGTGTGAGTCGAAAGCAATTAATGGCTCACATACAATATTATTCAAATAATCAATAAATTACTATTAATATTATTATGCAGCATTACGAAATTCAGGTGTAAATTGATATCTTTAGAGCTCAAATTCTTATATGGAAATAATTTCAAATATTTCAAATATTTTTATTGATAATGACCCAGTTTAAAACGGTGTTGTTCCGGGTTTAAGTCCGAGAGTGATTTAATAAAAGATTTGATAGTAACTTATGTTAATCTTTGAAGATGAATGTGGCAAACGGCAAAGGTTGAGCATAAAAATAGCACTAACAATTGTATTTAATTGAATATACTATTAATGAACACTCAGAGGTGTAGAGAGAGCAAGAGATCCATTGGGCATGAGCCCACTGGCAATTAAGTGACTCTCAAGCCGCTCTCTATAAATTAGTCACAGTTATTTTTAAATTAATTTTTGTTCATGCTCTGTTTGTAGCCTAGATGAGTAGTTTTTACGTCATTAAAGTTTTATAGAAAAAACTGCGCAGTGGGCATTTTTGTAAGGCTTATAATAGCTACCTGGAAAAAATGTGAATTGAATTTAGAAAAGCAAATTGTGGATACTAAAACAGTGACAGACCTTGAAATGAAATCAAGACTAAGGTAGCAGACTTAACCTGACAAGGTTAATGGGTTCGATAATCATTTGTTAGCTGTCATATGACAAATGTACAATACAACTGCTGACGAACTGCATTCAAAATTGGCAGCTCGACTATAAAAAGTACTCCAAATATGGCTATATAAATATCTGATAATAATATCGAATTTGTATCCATTTTCAGTTCCCGGACATCCCCAAATTGTGCGCAGCTGCTACTTTGGTGATATCAGCAACACACAGACTGGCTGCCAGGCAGATCCTTCCCTGCCCTTCGTCAAGCAGCTGAGCTGCGAAGTGTGTACCAAGGATGAGTGCAACGGTTCCGCTTCCATCGCCCCCATCGCTGGAGCCATTCTACTGTTCTTCGGCGTGGCCCGCCTGTTGGCCTAAATTTGGTTGAAGTCTCCAGTTCCGTCTTTTAAATTTATACCTGGAACATTTAATAAGTTTCACACGTATTATCAAAACTTTACATATCATTTTCGCAATTTTCATTGAATTTTGTTTAAAAAAAAGAAGAAAACAAATCAACACATTCTAAAAGCATATTAAAACAGCTTTAATACCAAATTAAAATTGAATAGATTTAAATAAATATCAAATGAAATTTAAATTGTAATGTAAAGGTAAAGGTAATAAATTCTGTATTCGCACAACTGCTTAAGAACCGCTAAAATAAATAATTTGTTATTCTGAATTCCGAAATCCTCGTAATAGTCCTGTATCTAATTTTTATTATGATAATTTCAAATTGTTTTCGTTTAGCATACTTAACCGCTTATCTATCCAAACTTGTCCTTTGACATCAACAAATATGCCGCTTTTGAAAGCTGTCCTTGCGTGCAACGTCATAATTAAAGCTTACACTACGACGTTGACACCACAGGAAACCCACACAGACACACACACACACAGAGAATGGCATGTTAGTTGTGCTCTTTGGCAACATTGCCAGCTCTCTTTGGTGCTGCTGTTAAAAATGGACTAAGAGGCAGCTAAGATTTTCTGATGTCTTGCTCCATATGTGTGCCATAAATTCATTCTAGAATACATTAATTTTATGTTCTGCGTCGGAGGGAAATTCATTAAAATTAGACTATTTCAATGGGTGTCCGCAATCACTGGCCAACAAGTTGCCCAGACAGACAGAAGAAAGGAACAACCAAGAAAAAGAGAGACTGACAAAGAGAGCCGAGAGGAAAATATTGAGAGCTGAGTAGTGAAATTTGGAAACGCTTTGGCATTTTTCAGTATAATTTCGAACGCGGCCGTCGACTGACTGACGGTTGAAACGATTTGTGCTTTATAAACAGAACACACCGGAAAATATCGACAACAACAACGAGAACGATACAAATCTGTATAGTGAGGGCAGAACGGGCTAATGTTGATAAACATCGGTGCGGAAAAATTGTTCGAAATACAGTCTTAGAACACGCTGTACGCAAGACGCGGTCTGAATTAAAAAAATAATACAAATATAAGAAATATGTTAAAATACGAGTAATTCATAGAAATAAATTTCTTAATGCCCCAACTTAGAGGCGAACATATAGCAAACACTTTCAAACCGAATCGTTCGTTTCAATTGCGCCCGAGCGCTGAGTGAACAAGATATAAATACAAACAAAAAGAAAAGAAAACAAAAAAGACAAGAAAAAAACACCAGAAGAAAAGCATCACAAGAATTTTCCATAAAACAGCAAATGCCAAATCGGCAATTAAAATAAAATATAAAATTTGGACCGTAAATTCAAATAATTTCTATATTTACATAAATGGATATATGAAACGTGTTGTTGAAAGTTTTTGAGTTTTCTTTGTTTTCCATCAACGGCAAAAATGCAATTTTTACTTGGACTTGGAGCCCTGCTCACGCTGCTGGCCACAGGTTTGCTCTTGACCATTTTATCTTTAGCCTTTTAACTCAAGAATATTGTATATATGTATATATATTTTATATATTTGTCTCTGTACATAAATATATATGTATATTTCAATGCCAACAGCTTACGCCATCAGATGCTATTCATGTGAGTCCGTTTACGAGGCGGGCTGCGGAGAAAATTTCGAAATTGAGAATCATTTTAAGTACGATTGCGCCTTCATTGCCCCTCCCCGTTTTCTGGACATTGAGTTGGTCAACAAGAATGCGACCGCGTGCCTCAAGCGCGTTTTTCGCGGTAAGTATTTCCCCCCTCAGCCACATCGCGATTACACACATGAACGAAAACGAATTAAATGAAATGTTTTGCCATGTGACCTCATTATGTATTGAAAAAAATCGATTTCGCACGGGTCCTTAACCAGCTCGCTAGCGTATATATAAGCTGGTTCTTCAATTTGAGTTTCTTTTCATTCATGAACGGGCCTTGAGCTGCTTAAGCTAAAATAATTTGTAAAATACAAGAACTGAAGCAATGCTAGGAAATCAATTTAAATATTGAATACAAACACACAGGTTGATATTGGTTCTTCCTTTTGCAGTAAGGTTCGCTTTATTCACTTAATATTAGCCAACATTTTCTAAACTACTTGCAACCGTATCAAGTTAGTAAGAACTTAATAGATTTAATTTACAGGCGAGTTCACAACTCCTTCTTCTTCTTCTTTTCTTCAAGGCTGTAAATATTATCGCACCTAAAAGTATGCAGCATCATTCTTACATTTAATTGTTTGTTTTTGTGAACTCTAACACAGAAAATGGCGTCCAAAAATTCGTGCGTGGTTGCTACTTTGGCGAGGTCAACGAGACGGACATCGGCTGCAAGCTGGACCCCACACTGATCGCCGTGCAGAATGCCAGCTGTCATGTGTGCGATAACGAGAACTTCTGCAATGGAGCCGTTCAGATGGAAGGGAATGTTTGGAAACTGCCCGCTCTGGCGCTTTTTCTAGCTGCGTCGCAGTTGTTGCGAGCGGGCCAACGTGACGTATGAGCGATGTTGAAGCCATTAGGCAAATAAATACGATGTTGTTGTAAATGGCGATGGCCAAGAAAAATGCGAGAAAGCCTGAAAATCTAAGCTAATAAAAAGTAAATTAATATAGAATAAAGCGCACATTGTTTATTTTCGCGCGCAATGAACTTTATGAGGCACAGCGGCATTTGCACAAGGGCGCGACGCCTCCACGCACACACACACACACACATACATACATAGTCACTCACACATACATTTACACAATAGCTACCGTGTATTTCATGTTTCATGTCAACGGACAATTTATTTTTGGGCTATCAAAATGCCGCTCATACCATTTCCATTTCCATTTTCATATAGACACGGTCAGCTAAAATGAAAACCAAATGTGTTATATGGAAATTAACATCGCAAAAAAAAGCAAAAGCGAAAAAGAAAAGAAAAAAAAACGCACAGAGAATGAAAACAAAAACTCATCAGTCAGAATGCGATTGGATTTGGGCTCAGTCTCGTGTGTGCAGCTCGTTCGACTGGTTCTCGGCCATGTGACGCTCTGTGAGCGATCAACGGGCCCCATTCTGTGCACTCATCAAATACAACAACCATCCATCTATCAACTGTTTTGCATACCTGTGCTCTACACTCGACCATCAACGACTGTTGGGATTGAGAAGATGATGCGCTGGGTGTTGACGTTGGGGCTGTTGCTTCTGTTGCTGTCTGCCACAGGTGAGCGCATCGATCGTGTCATAAATTGTTGACATACATATTTAACACACATTTATTCAACACACACACGCACACACACGCGCGCATATCACGTCATCGACGATCGCAGCTCTGGCCGTTAGCTGCTATGAATGCGATTCTGTCAACGATTCGAATTGCGGCGATGATTTTCAGCCCGATGACATTGCCACAACGGACTGCGATTCAATGGAGCTGCCTGAAGAATTGCGTCCCTTCTATCTACAACGCCCAGACACAGCGTGCCTCACCAAATACTACAAGGGCTGTGAGTATAGCCCGATGACAATTGGTGTCAAATAGTCAGAACAGTCGGAATCTAACAAGTCTATTCATATATACTTCTTTGTCCACATACCAGCAACTGATGAATCGTTGTTTGTGCGTCGCTCCTGCGCCTTTGGTGATTTGTCTGTCTGCGATGAGCAGCCGGATTCGGTAATGCCGCAACTCAACTTTCTTGGGTGTGTCTTCTGTCATAAGGATTTGTGCAATTTGAGCACGCGAAGCACGTTTGCCTCCAGCTCAATTATGGGCGTAATACTTGTTTTTCGGGCATTATTCATAAACTAAATTTGATAGTTAAGAAGAAAATTTCAAATTTTTTTGCAACATTTTAATTTTATTTTTATTTTTTATACATCCACTAAAATGATTTAACATACATATATATATATGTATATATATGTAATAATATATCTTTTCATTTTAAATATATAATATAGAATTGGGCATATTTTTCAACTGTATTCGTTTATTACTGTATGTATGTGTGTGTGTGTTTTTGTAATCGATCAAAAGTAATAATGATAATAATATAAAGAATATGAACAACACGCTCTTTAATTCATTTATCAAACAGCATAGTTTGTATGTATATATTGTATATTATTTAAATATGTTTTTATTGTAATATTTCAGTTTGCATAATATAACTTCAGTTGGGTTATCATCGTTTACATATGTATAACACATTTAGATTTAACCGTATAATGGTTTGCTTATTGTACAAATCAAATGATCGAAACCTAACAGCGACTACACATAGAGAACAATTCATATAATTATGTAGAGAAAAAACAGAGTAAACAATTGTGTGTACAAAACGTTATGAATTAGTTGACTGTTTGTTTGCCTTTTGCCAAATACTGTTCAAATATAAATAATATAAGAGCGCACCCGCAACTCCTCCCCTCGGCATGAAACCCAACAATCATCAGAGAATTTGTATTAATAGTCAACTAAGTAAATTAAAAACTTTAATCAACAGCGCAGAAACAAGTAACAAATATATTTATAATTCTATTTTTTTTTTTCCTTCTTATTTTTTGTGTTGATCAAACTTTTCAACTAGGCTATTATAAGTATGAACTACAGCATTCAGTTATATGCCATATTTAATGCTTCTTACATTCACAATTCGTTCAACAACACAGAGAGTTTAATAAAAAAAAAAAAACATAATTAAAATTATATATTTATATATATACGTATCAATATTTTAAAATATTTGTATTATTTTTTGTCTGCCACAAAAATGTAACAAATTTGCTGCTGTACCGCGCCACGAGTGTTTCTTGTTGCAAATGTTTGTGTTGGGGGATTTCTTTCTTATTGGAGTACCAGCTCCGAAATGTGTTGAGTCATTTGTATATAGAGTTTCGATCCATGCGCTTCATGGGCACTAAAATTGAGTTGCGCATCGAGTTTGCGCAGCAGCAGCAGCAAATCGCAATTAGTTTTTTTCTTCTGATTTTTGGCAAAATTAACAATGCTTATTTATGAATTGTTGTAATATTTTCTATATATATATATATATATATTTGTATATTATGGGTATTCGTTGTGATTGTAACAATTCGCTTGAGTAGTGCAAAGAGCAGTCGCTAAATGGGCGTGCAGAAACGCCTACCAAAAAATATGTTGTGTGCACAACATGTTTGAATTTTTTTCTTTTCGTTTTTCTCTGACTAGAAAAATTGATAGAAAATTAGGTAAAATTACAAAAAATGTAACAAAATTATTCAAAAAATCATCGTTGTCTGTGAAATTATTTACCAAAAATATATTGGAGCTTGAGCAATGCGAAAATGGAATGAATCTTAAATAATGTTTGAATTTGTTTGAAGCTTTGGATATGGAGCATAAATGAGATCAATATGTGTCATGTGTGCACACCCCCACCGAATCCCACCTCATCATTGTTTAACCGTAGATTCCTGCACGCCCAAGTAGCTTTAGTGTGGCTTCTAATTGTCCATTATAATATATGTATTGCTATAGGATATAGCTGTGTGTTATGTAACTAATACACTGCACTGCAAGTTGTGTGTTGTGTTGTGAGTTTGCTTTGAACGCATGCATGCAGCAAATTCCAGTTGTTATTTGAATATATGTATGTAGGTAGGTTGTTATTTATATAGAAATAGAAACTAGGCCTAGTAAGAAAATAAAAAAGGTTCCAATGCAATTTACAAAATATATAATTTATACACATATGTAATAATAATATTAATAACATTTATAACGAATTCAGTCAAGTCAGTAAATTTGGTTTAAAGAAGCAGAAAATAAAAATAAACATAAAAGTAATACAATAATAATAATAATAATAATCCAAATGTACAGACAAAAATGTAACATGAAATTAGTTTTTGATATTTTCTCTTGCTTTTCATTTAAGGAATATATATTCTGTTTGTTGTTGTTGGTGTCTGCTTTCTAAAGTCGTTATATATATAGAAATAGTTTTTACATTTAGATATACACACATATATATAGATATATATTTATATATATATATATTATAGTATATAGTTTATATTGTTTATGAATAACAACTATTGTATCTATATAATTTCAAAGCTTTTTCATTTTGAAACATTAACTCACAGAGTATTTCCATTATATAATATATAATTTGTTTTTCGCATGGTATTTAAACATTTAACATTAAAACGACAATGACGACAACGATGGCTGCCTTTTCAAGATACGTATTTATAAATAAGCTTTTATAAATGTTTACACAATTCTTCTTTCATTAACATCTTTGCCTGCCTGCCTGCCTTGTGTTTCCGGTATTAGCGGAAACACAAGCGTTCCGCATTCTGCTTTTGCATATTTGATTTAGGTTAAATGTGTGTGTTTATGTGTTTGTGTGTGTATTTTATTGTGGATGCGTGACTCTGAGAGGAGCATAGGTGCGGGTTTTGCTGAGCACTTGAACATCGGCGGGCAATTTGGTTTCGTTTTGAGTGTCGGCCCTTTTGTGGGCTTATATGGCCTTAGATGCCCACAAAGCCGTAGACTTCTAGTACACGTATCTCAAAGTCACCTGACGGACACAACGGCGGATTGTTGAAAGTCTTGCAACCGTCCGTCTTGCCAAATCGTATATTCTCATCCATCCAAATGGCTTGGCCCTCACTGTAAAACATAACACAAAGTTAATCATAATTACGTAATAATTGCATATGGCATACAATGCTGTGTTTAAGTCGACTTACCCGCCGCCAATTGTTATCATTTTGGAATCAGCTGCCATGAAGAGTTCTGAGCTGTGGCCCAGACCGCGATCACCCTCGATGCCCACCCAAGGATACTTGGCCCGTTCGGGATACAGGGAGAACAAAAAGGTTTCGCCGGTGCCAAAATAGGCCTGTCTCTGCCCTTTATCATCCTTGACATTGCGCTCAAACCAGCGCGACGAGCAATAGGCCCCAAATACCTAAATAACAAAGAATAACATTTATATTTTTCTAATAATATGAAAGAAATGTAAACTTACCTCATTGTTGCAAGTTTTGATCATTAGAAGCGTGGGCTCGTGCTGTTCAACACGCACATAGAAGGTCGTCAGGGAGCAGCCATGCTCCTCGGTGGTGTACAGCAGAACCGGTTGGTACATGGTGATACGTACGGGCAGCCAGGACCAAAGCGTGAACAGCTGTGAGAAGGAGTAGGGATTCAACAGTTGTAAATTAGTAAGGATCTTCCACAATTCGCAAAGTATCATTTTATTAGGCGAAAATTAACTACGGTTAACTATTAAAAAACGGTTGCATTAGCCAATGTTTAAAACAGGTAAAGGAATCATGTATATTATATATATATTTATAAGTATAAACACACATAAAAAAAACATAATTAGGCGTTTTTGGACGGGGGTAATTACAGAGCGATAAACAGAGACAAAAAGAGAAATACGCAGAGACATAAGCTAAAAGGTCAAAATTGAACTAAAAGCATACGACAAAGAAAGAAAGAGAACATTTATTGTTAAAGCTGCCAAATCAAAAACTACAATAAATACAAATACAAGAATACAATTTGCTGAGGTTTTGTTTTATTTTGGATGTTGATTTTTTTGTGTTTTTTTGTTTGTTGGCCAGCAGCAGCAGCGCATGAATTTGCAGCAGCGTATTGCATGTCAAACTGTTATGCTATGACTGTCAAACTGTCGGTCTGCCCAACTAGAAAATGCATTAATGGCCCAAAGAATACTTGTGACATGTTTTGGCTACTTTCTGAATGGATATGTTGATTGCGATTTGTGTAGGTTAAGTTTACCAAATACAAGGGACGCACACACACACACACACACACACGCACACAAACACACAATTAAATAGGGAGAGCGAAAGATAGCGAGAGAAATATTGGGAGAATAAAGAGATATATAGCGCTATGGGGAACTGTTAAATTGGCTAATAAACGGCACAAGATATAACTCTTTTACTTTGGATGGGAAATATTCATTGGATGTGGTGTTCATTCACGTGTGTTTTTTATTTTTATTTATTTTTTTTTTATTATTTTTTATTTGTTTTTTTTTTGAAAAGCTTTGGCTCGTAATTGATATGTGCTTACAAATTGTCTATCCGTCCAGGTTTTAATGAAATTCGTTGTGCCCGGTAAACCAAAATGCTATGAAAGAAGATGATATATAGCAATGTCAAGATTAGATGCAACTCGATTTGTATGATCGATTGAAATTTGACATGAGGAGATACAGTTGTTTTTTCGGGTAGGTGTGGGATAATAATTGGAGGGGCCCTCTAGCTGCTCATAAAACTGGTAACTGCATGATTTTTATATATATAAACACGAATATCAACTAACTATACAAAAACAAATATAAAATAAGTTCAAGAAATATGCTAGAAAAATGCCAAAAAAAAATACAATATTTGTATATATATTTATATATTTATGCAAAAGTTCAATTATATTGCACACATCAGAGAGAGAGCATGCACATGTGAAGGATTGAGGGAGTAGCACCTTGATAAAAGGTCTGTGTTTTGTGTGTTTAAGTACTAAAGAGACATCTTTAATAGTGCAATTCGATAATCATTACATTCCAGTTTTCTTGGGCGTATATGTGTTTTGTACTTGGTGCTTATACAATATTATATCAATATAATATTACTAAAAGAAAAAACCAAAGTGGGATAAACTAGCAAAATAGCAAATGGCATTGAGTTTTTTTGAGTTTTGTCTGCTCTCTGGACTTACATCTTCGTTCTTACAGACTTGACTTTTGAGATTGTGTATGGGATAGACGCCCATGGCGATGGCTCTATGACCGGGCGACTTTTCGCCCTGTTTAGTGGTAAACATACATATATATATAAATATATATTTATATATATATATAGATATACATTTGTATTTCAGTATATGCATATATGATTTAATGTCAGTTTTGAGAGATGGAATATTTCATGTTGATAAAGCGCACGCATGTTATTTGTAATTGTTATAAATATGTTCATTATTTCGCAATTCGTTTTTGTTTTATTTTTTAGAGGGGGTTTTTTTTTTGATCATTCAAAGTTTGGCAGCGCAAAATACAAGAAAAATAGAAATAACATTTTTTATATATAGATTATATTTATAAAGTTAATATTTATTTATATAACAATTTTGTGCGTTATGTTGGTTTTTCAGAATGTTGGTTGTTTTCTTTTGTGTATTTGATTGGCTTTGGAAGTGCAAAACAAGTGAGGAAATAAATAAAAACAAATTATAAAGTTAAAATTAAAACTCAAAGGCAAATTTGTGTTAGACAACGGAAACGAATAAGCTCGGGTTTTTTTAATTGAAGTTGTTGATTGTGTTGTTTGTTATGCATTGAGAAAATGTAAGAAAAAAGTAACTCAAAAGCTGCTTTTGAAATAACATTGATTTTAGTATTTTCCGTTTGCATGAAACATTCAAGAACTGCAGCATTTAAACACAAATTGTTTAGTAGAAAACACAAAACTATTGACGGTAAAACTGCTACATCATAAACCGGAAATCCTCTAAGAAATTCGGAGTTTCAGTTTAATCTATACCAATTGCCGCCAAGTTGAAAAACAAAACGAAAATAATTGACATGTTCTGTGCATGTTACTTAGCTATTTTATAGCTAGATAAAGCTTAAACATGCAAAGGACATGACTCCTCTTAAACTCAGAACTCATAACTAACAAATTAGTGTGTTTGTTTTTTTTTATATTTTTTAATTAATTAATTATGAAAAACAAAACAAGCAATGTTTGAACATCATTATCAGCATTATTATCATATAGTATATAGTTATATATATGACAAAAACTATTTGAAATTTATAGCCCCATACCAAATTGCGACAGCTCTCGGAGTGCAGCTTCTGGTTTTGTTTTTCAATTCATTTTTAGTTTTTGTTTTTGGTTTTTTTTTTTTTGTTTTTTATCAATTGAGTTGAGTTGTTGTTGTTGAGATGTTGTGCGAGTTTTGGAAGAACACAAAAACAATAAATCAATAGAAAAGTTGTACAGTTTTACCATAATATAAATAGATATAAGTTATAAATGTGTGCAGTGCTGTGCTGTTTGGAGAAAGGATAACCATGTTTTGTTTCGTATTTCACTAAACCTAAAGCTAAAGTTGAACTAAGGTCTTATAATGAAAGGAACTGAACTGGATGCAGTTCCAAAGATCTTTGAGTAGGGTTTAATAGTAGTACTATATAGGTGTTCTTATAAGTGTTCTTATATGTGTAGCCGCCTAGCTGTGGTTTGTGTGGTTTTCAGTTTTCAGTTTTTTTTTTTTGGGTCGGGTTCTGTTTGTGTTGTTTTAGGTGGTATTGCGAAAAGGGTGGTTTGTGGTCAACTCACCTCACGGATGGTCAATGTGTGCGACATCATCTGGATGTTGACCTGCGACTGACTAGTGGGCAGATTATCACTTGAACGCGATTTGATTAATTGCTTCGAACCGCTATTAAGCACGGATCGGCTTTTTAGTAGCATTTCAGTCTTGATAAATATTCTAGAAATATACTGGGTACTGCAAATCGAGAGAGAAAACATTAAGTTTATTTATTTATTCAACAAGATAGAATATGCAAAAACAAGAATCGCACCTGAGTCCCCTAATACTAAAAGCGGCATGGAGCAGCTTCGCCGGCGATACTGGTATCTTTTTGCAGAACTTGATAAGCGCATTGCCAATGTCGTTTTTAATATTATCCGGACTCCATTCGTTGTTTGACTGGCATTCCTTGTGGAAGAGATTGAGTATGACCAGGGCGACGCGGTATAGCACCTTGATGCCCTCATGAAAATAGCAATCCATAATTCGCACCAAATGCTGAAAGGGTAGACCAGCTAATATCCACCAGCACCAGTCCATAAAGACGCGCTCCAGCTTCTGCCCCGGACAGATGCGTTGGAAATACGCAATGGCACTTTTCTACAATTAACAAGATAAATCACGATTAAGATTAATCACCGTAAGTAAGTAACTAACTAAGTAAGTCTTATGTGTAACAACATACTGTGTGCTTTTTGGCTATCTGCATGACTGTCTTCCAGGTGACCTCATTCTGCAGTTTGGTTTGATTGATGAATGTCTTCTCCTTGCTGCCCACAAGTCCGGCCAGGCACACATAGGCTTCCTCCTCTGCAACAAGATAAAAGAGAAAACAATTTGTTTGATTTGCTATTTTCATTTTTTTTTTTATACTTTGCAATTTTCACGTAATATTGTGTAAATATCTATTGCGCTATTGAATTTCATTTGCCCGGCAATTAACTGGAGGCTTAATAACAGGCCCAACCTTAGCGACCAAGTTCATCCCACTCACTGCCCCTCTTACACTCCCCCCCTCCCTATATGAGTATGCTTTGTGTCTCTAATTGAATTGCACAATTTCAAATTTGCAATTTTCACTGCAGCTTCCAGAGGTCGTTCCACGTTCTAAGCACATCGTCGCAAGCTGCTCAGGCTCTGGCTGTGGTTGACGAACGCTCTGTGGTTTGAGGTGGCGCTGGTTGTGATTGCGGTAGAGGTGCAGAGCCTCGAGGGCGTTACCGTAATGACGCAGCACTTTGTTGCATTGACTAGCGTGAACGTAATACACATTAGAGTTCAAGGAAAGTGCTTGACACTCAATATACCCTGTATATATAGAGTATCACCCATAAATGCTTTTCTATAAAATAAACATTTATCTGAGAATGAATTCACATCAGCAAATTTAGCTTGAAAATAAAAGCATCAGCATAATTTGTGGAGCAATTTCTGTTTTTTAGCAATATTTTTTGAAAAGTATTTATCTCTAGTATAAATGTATAAATAACTTAAGTTATTATTATGCCTTACAGATGTGTTATAACATTTTTTTTAAATGCTGCTCAGTCGAAATACCCTATCCAGCTCTATAAACTAGAGAGCATACAAATATATGCAGCAATTTGGCTTGGATGTGCACTTTGACCGCCCTGAACTGAGAGCAGAGCTTAAACTGGCATTTGATTTTTAATAAGTACGTTTTTCAAAAGTCGCTTTTGCGATTTTATCATAATTAACTGCCGCACACTTTGTTTATCAAATTAGTCATTTGTTGTGCCGCTCTTCGCGCCTCCCGAATTTACTTGATTTATGTTAAGATCGCCGAGACAAGTGCAAATAACGATGTTAAAAATAGCTCTCGAGTTGTGTGTGAGTTGTTTATTTTGTTCTGGATATTTTTTCGTATATTTGCGTGTCGCAGTTGGGATTCGTGTGTGGCTCATTAGCAGCGTTAACTGTGTACAAAACGAATAGCATATAATATGAAACAACAAAAAATCACTAATAAACATTTTTTATGTGTTGACTGACTTTTAAAATGCAATTGCAAGTGATTTTTTAGTTTTATATTTTGTATATTTTTATTGTTGTTGTTTGCGACCAATTAAATGAACAATCAGCTGCAGTTCAGGCGCATTTAAGTGCCACTTAGATATCGCTTTGTCTTAACAGCGACATTTAATAATATAAATGTGTGAATGCTGATAACAACTTCTAAGTTGCATTGATTTGCACATAAACAAAGCAATTTCCTACATATGTGCAGCGGACCGGCTTTAGGGCTTATCAGCTGGTGGCTTATCAGCTACAAAGTGCAGTTTGCGCCGGTTCGTTTCGGTGTACGGCAGTATGCCTTGGTTAATGATTGCTCTTAGTAATTTGATTGTATAATTTCCATTGTTATCAAACTGCTGGACTGGACAAACTGCTCAAACTGTTCAAAGATACACATCGAAGTTGTAGGACACAAAGTATCACAGTGGAGCTGTACTTCATTTCTGGTATCTGTCGGCATATATAAGCTGCCAGCTTATCACTTGAGGAAACTTCCACACACAAAACTCTGATAAGGAGCAACTTCATACTGCACTGTTTGTTTAGCGTATTTTTATCATGCATTTTATAATCGTTTTGTGGTCTATTTAAAGCACAGCTGTAACTTGTTTTATATATGCGAAATCTGAGTTTATCTTGAGTTTGTTTTTTAATCGTTACGCTTTAGACATTAATTGCTCTGTTTGCCAGTAAATAGTTTTACTTATTAGCTGCAATAGTCACTCCGTCCACAGACAATAGCCCGATTAAGCCAAGGGGGGTGCGATTGGGTGTGCGGACTTTAATTTTATGACACCAATTGAACCGATAAGCAGGCAGTAGCACAATAACAATAATAAAACTGGTTGAGGAAATCGCAGCCCGTTTCACGTTCCCATTTGCCGTCAGTAAACTTACACGTGTACAGCGGGGTATGAGGAGATATACAGTGAGGTAGAGTAGTGTTTTGTTGTACTTGGTTAATCATGTGTACACAACTTTGATAAACTGCAGCACACCAACTTTTTAATTATGCGGCCTGCAAACTAAAACAACAACATATACAATTTTTTAAAGACCAAAATAGATGCGGCAAGCATAAACAACATTTAAATTAAAGTCATCAACAATTAATTTGGCTATTTTCATATAGCAGACACGCTAATTGAAATTGAATTGATGGCAATTGCACTACATTATTAAGTAAGCATTTCATTTCAGCTTAGCAACTTTATTAACATTTTTTTTATGTTAATCAAATTTTAGTCAAAGATGTTTAGAGTTGAATATTTGTGTGTTTTTTTAAACTATTTCCAAATCCGTTTGTCTAGTTGATGTTTACCTTTCTATGCATTTGCCAAGGCCAAAGCGAACTCCACGATTTAAATATGAAAATCACTCTCCGCATTTGAGTATTGGGCAAAGCTCTCTGCACACACCAATGCATTAATGCACCGTGAGAGAGAGCGAGAGAGAGAGAGAGACAGAGAGAGAGAGAGAGAGCGAGGATGCGTGCTTGTATTAGTGTGCTTGGGCTTCGACGGATTTGAATTAATGAATATGCAAATCGAAAGCACTACTTCACCCCTTAAGCTATACATTATTGAAGTGCTCAGTGCGTTAAATTGACTCTCAGAGCACTTAGTGCTCCGGTTGTATTTGTGGAAAGGTGGGTTCGTGGGTGGAGTGCTGCCTCCTGCCAGTTCGTTCATATAAAAGCCGTGCAAAAACAAATATGCATAGCTCGACAATGTTTGGGTTGGGCATAATCAGAGAACAGAACAGTACCGAGCAGAACAACAGAATAACAAACAGCCATAAAACAAAAGCAAACGCACTCGCAAAGATGATATGTACATAATATATATATATATATATATATAAAAAGGTACTCATTTGTTTGGCTTCGTTGCGTTCGGGAATGGGTATATGTGATATGGGATATGGCGGTATCCGAATGTGAATATGAATGTGAATGCGAATACGAATGGGTTTGCCTAATTTAATTTTATGTGAGTTTTATGCTAACGTGTTGGCGTCACTTGCGCTTGATACGACAAGCTAAAAATAAACTACAATTAAATTTCTAGATCTTGGGCAATGTGGAGCGAAACAAAAAAAACTGTGTCGCATGCCAAATTGAGAAGAAATGGCTACAGTGGTCACTGCAAATATAAACGTGTTTTTCAGTTCGAGCACAAATAAATTCTAATTGATTTAACAATCAAAAACAAGTTCATCATCGAAAGTTACGGCTTTAAGTTTGTTTTAATTTGATGCCAAACACATTTTTAGTATTACAAATTTTTGAACCGAAGTAAATAAAATTTTTTAAACAATTCTAAATAGGAACATTCATTATTCGATTTTCCAAAAGTTGCATCTGTCGAGCAACTACTGTACTGCAAAATTTGTAGTCTTGTGCCGTTGATCTGTTACACTTATTTAAGTGGCGAAATAAAAAAAAAGAACATTTGCATAAAATTCAACAAAGACGACAACGATAACCAGTCAATGACGTCAACAAGATTGCCGCCGACAAGTAATACAAATCGTCAATATGGGCTTGATATCGATATATACACAGATATTTATATACAAATGTATAAAGCACATATGTCTCGAACATTTTTATACTTTGTTTATGTAATTCTTGAACTTGAATTGCACAAAATGCTTATTGAAAATACAGCTCAAATTTTTATTGCCAATTATTATGCAGTACTTTTGTTTGTTGACTCAATGAATGTGGAATGTTTGTACAGGCTCGGCGCCCGCCCCCTGTGTCCTTCAGGGCACTAGGACCATATACTTGTTTTCCATTTTCTGTTTTGTTTATTTCGTACATAAACAACGGACCTTTGTTCTATTTGAGCAGGGTGGCAAACTATTTATAGCGATTGTGGCGACTTGTGTACCTTGAATCTGCAGCGAAATCACAATCTGTAGACGCTCTATCACTTTTTTGTTGAGCCGTGTAAACAAACCTCCAAAAATGGGAGACAGCGAGCAGACCCAGTCAACCAGAAAGCAAAACAAAAAACGACGTTGTCAATTTTTCGAGTCTCTTCTCGTTCACCTTACGCCCGAGACGAGCTTATCAGGCGCAGCTTTATCAGGCGGACAGCTGGGTTTGCGGTATTTTGAAGTCATGTGCCTCTCTCAAGTAACGTCGTAATATTCATCGTATGCCAATGCCAAGTTAGGGGGCAGAAGTCTGCCCCCTTTTAAATGTATAACATAAGAAAGTATGCCGATTATAATCAATATTCTTATAATCAATATTCTCAAATATTGCTGGGATTATTAAAGTTAGACATTTTTATAGAACTTGCACAACTAATGTGGGGGGTGTTCAGAGTTCAGCAGCGATTAATTTGATTACGTAGCCTTTTATTCCGGCTAATGATTAGCATTACATGTCACGATGGGGGTTACAAACGGCCCTGCATCTGTCATTTGTAATCTAAGGCAAGTGGGAAATCGGAATCGGAATCGAAGCAGCTAAAGGTTGTCATTGAAACTAAATGGGAGACCTTTTCCGCTTTTCAAACACAATATTGCACAAGTTCACATGAAATGAGGTGATAGCTTGAATTTATTAAATGTTTTATTGTTTCCTTAAGCACATAAGATATTTATCAAGATATGCCCCATGCTCTACTATCTTCTATCTATTGGTTCCCAAAGGAAATTGGGCTTCGAGCAAACACATCATTAAACAAACAAGATACAAAAAGATACGAAACATCTCAATCCAAAAGTAGAGCTCAAGGCTCTGAGGAGGCACAATGGAAGTTAAAGGACACATTGCCTATCCATAATCATAATAATATTATTGATAAAATTCACATGTTTAAAGGGCTATCAGCCTTATGTTGTTGATATCAAGAGTGTATTTGAAATTACTCAAAATTATTGGCTCATTGCTTGTTGACGAAGGCAATTAGCTACAAAAATCACGATACATCAATTTGCGTTAAGCTGCGAGTTACTTGAGGAGCTAGCAAACGTTGTCGATTTACAATTGTGCCAATTACTTGTATATTTATTTATTTGTTGAAGCGATAAAAGCAACAGCAACAGCAACAAAACGATAATAATCACAAAAACAAATATTGAACAAACTGAAACTGAGTGAATACAAGCGAATGCGAGTGCTAGCTGAGGCCTCAAGTGCGTATGGCATGTAACGAATAAAACGAATACACACAACAAACGAGTGCTTTTCTGTCTCAAAGTCAAATATGCATTTGGATATAACAAAAAAAATAAATAAATAAATGGTATTCAGTCACGTGCGCTATTTGGATGGGAGAACGAAAAGTTCAACAACTTACCCGACATGAAATGCAAAAGTAACGCTGCAATTGGATACAATACTGGACTGTAGGTAATGTCGGGGCAATCATAGCCGAGCACATTCACAATGCGATCGGCAACGGCGCGTCCCGTGCTAGTCAAATGATACGGCAAACAGTGTGTGGCATCCACAAATGCGGGCAGCATGATGGGCTTCTCCGACAGTTCCGTGGTGCCAAAGACCTAAAAATAAATGTATCGAAATTAGAATACATCTTTTTTTTTGGGGGGTGAAAATATTGATTTTCTGTTGTTGTTATTGATTGCCTTACCTGATGCACCATCTCCCAGTAGAAGCCATCCAGGATATTTTGCTTGGTCAAATGCTGGGCGCACAGTGCTGGCCACAATTGTGAGCGTATCGGCGAGTTAATTGGCCACGAGTTCTCTCTGAGTATATTCTTAACATCGCGCTTCTTAGACTGCTGCAGAAGCTGCTGTATTTCGGTGAATGAGCGCAGCGCCGGCTCTTTACCTGGAAGAGCAAACACAAAACAAGCACAATGCAAACAATTTAATCAGTCAGTCAAGTGAATTTCACTTAGGATAGGTCACGAACTCTACTGTTTAACAATAAGTAATTTGTTAAAGTTAATACTCATTTTGAAAAACTAGACTAGTGCACGACTAGTGGATACTCTGTTCTGCTGCTTAAGATGTATACTATATAGATTATCAACATTTATTCTGCCGATTAAATATACATTTTAAAGTATGCAACTATACATATATAAAATGCCATATTACTAATTAGTCATTAATAAGCAATCGTCCTGAAGTTTGCAGCTCTTATTAATTATGTTCTTTGTAGTTCTTAGTAATTAAAGTTACCGTTCTCAGACTTTTCTTGCTCATTTTAAGTAAAATAATAAGACCAATCATGCAACAGCGAAGTTATACATAACAAAATATATAGAGAATACATATATATATATATATATAATTAGGTATATGGTATCGTACATTTTATTATATACATCAAAAGTCCGTTGGTCAATTCAAGTGGCGGCTGATAAGTGTTGGTCAATTGTCGCTGCTGCTTTTGCTAGAGCACTTAAGTCCTTTTATGACATTATGATTGATAAAAAAATGAATGCTTGCCCCAAACAGTTGCCCTGAAGTCATAGTAAACCAATTGAACTTGCAGCTGGAGGCCGCAGATACTGTGGCGCACCCAAAGTTAATCGAAATAAGCAAAGTTGAGCTCAGATAAGTAAGTAAAATTTATCAAAAAGAACAGAAATATTACTCATACGCCCATTCGGCCACTGTGCCAAATAAAGTACTTGAGTTTTACAATCAATTTCTGTGTATATCAGAGTGTGTGTTTGTATGTATGTGTTTGTGTGTGTGCTTATTGCATTTTGTTTGATGTTGAGTACTTTTAAATAAAATTCAACAATGTAAGTTAACAAACAAATTACAAACATTAATCAACTTTTATTTACAAACGAAAATTGTAAGGTAAATGAAATTGAATTAATTGATTAAATTAATTAAAATCAAGACACTCAAGATTGTTATTATTGAACTTATAGAGAACAAATCAGTCGTATTTATTTTAGTGACATTCTTTGCATTTAATGCAATCCGAGGTAAACATTAAGTTAGACTGAATTCAATTATTTCAATGACGAAATGGATGTGCTTAACTGATCAAATGTGGATTATTGTAATTTGCGGATAATTAATAAGATTTCCATGTAAACGATACATGTAATTTAGAAGGCATCTAAATCATTAATTAGAAATGCAATCGGAATAGAGATAGCAAGTTACGTAGATGTAAAACAATTATTACTTAATGCATAAAATCTGTATACATTAAACGCTGTTCTAAATGAATACTATCTGGGAATTAACAAAATAAACTTAAGCACCTTCTCCTCAACGAACTAATGAAATATCAAATATCAAAATATCAAAAGCAAGCATTTGTAGATCGATTGTTTCTTCGATATTTTGGAGTATTTTGTGGTCAACTCTATAATGAAAAACTTATCGCTGCTGGTCAGCAGGCTGTTGGAGGCACCTCCTCAATTGACGCCATCGATAAAGCACAAGACCCGCAACACTTCAATGCCATGTGTGGGGGCAAGTGCGAGCAGCAGGAGAAGTGGGCGGAGAAGTCTCTCTTTTTTTTTTTTAAGTGGAGCTGCCATATTGATTATATTATCGAGGCGGCCGGTAATTGATTGTGCATTGGGTACATGTCTCATTACGCGGCCAAGCGACAGCTGATCGATTTTTGCATGCCACTCGCTCGTCCCCTTATCGCTTTCATTCGCATTGTTTGTTATTCTTTTTGTTGTTGTTGTTTCGGCCCCAGGTCCGCTTGGCGTACTGATAACGTGCCAAACCCAGCGCCAGTCATCGAGGGCCAACTTGCTAATTTTTCACGAATCACAACAGATACAACAGATTACAGTCGGGCTCTGCTCCATGTTTAACCTTATGTATATATATATATATATGTTTTTTTTTTTATTTTTTTATTACTACTGCGCCTTTAAAAACCAATGCTTATTAATATCACTTAACCAAGATTGTTGTGGCACATCTATTTGCTTGGCTGAAAATATCAAGTGACGCTCGCCTGATATACTTATATGGCTCTAAATATGGATCTGAGGGGGATGACGAATTTTCTAAATGCAATAACAATAAAAACTGGTATAATTGAGCGAGCATCGTTTGCATTTATAGCGCTCAGTTTTTTTTGTGTGTGTCTCTGTGTTTGTGTAATTAATCTACGCCTCTGCACATTTGCATTTGGAAGAGACGCGATATGAAAATGAGAATATGAGAGAATATCGTAGATATATAGACACAAAAATAGAGATACACATACGTTTGCCGGATTTCATACAACTGTTGATGCGGTAATTTTCCTATCAGCGCAATCAATTTCATTGTAAGCGGAATACTAAACTGTTGTTGGTGGAATCGTGTGAAATATAAACACACAAAACGGTTCATAATTAGTTGCTACACATTTTAAATAAACACATTGAAAATAGTTCAAATTTCAATCAACAGCTTTGCAATAGAGATAAAAACGTGATTTGAGGTTTAATGATGTTGAAATGGGTTGGGGAATCTCGCATAAATTATTTATTATTATTATAGCAGGAATAAACGCTCAACAATATAAAATGGTCTTATCGAATGAAATGAGTAAATGTCTGTGTTTAGTATGTTATATTATTTGTTATATCGGAAGTAAATTAAGTCAACTCTATAACATAATAAAACTCAATTTCAACTAATCAAAAAAAAAAAAATAAATAAAACCCCAACAAGTTTTTTGTTAGTGTGTAGATTTTGTTGTAGAATCCCATAAAGTTGATGAATGGCTAGTTTGGTGAATATATTTCAACTGGCCATTTGACAAAGCTGCTTAAACTTCAATAAATGCTGACAAGTTTACAACCAATCTGAGTTAAACTTGCATCTCAGCCCCAGAAACTTACAATTTTAAACAATGTATTGTGCTTACACTTATAATTAGCTAGTTTTATTAGCAGATGTTTTTATTTGCTTAAATTTATTTATTTATTTATTTTTGTGTTTGGCACTGTTTGCTGTGCTAATGCTTATGTGATGCGTGGAGTGTTTATTATTATTACCTGGACTGAACTGAAAGCACTGACACTTGGTTGTTATATCATTCGAGCTGGCCGCTATGAAGACGGGCAGCTCAAAGAACTTTTCGCACTCGGGATCAACGTAGACGCTACTGCGGCGGCTGCTTAACTGCTCCAACTCTCGTATGCCCAAAACTTTGCCAACCATCTTTGATTTATTTTATTCGTCGCTTTTTTTTTTGTTTTTTTGGTTTAATTTGCTTGTTTTGGTGTGTATTTTTTCTTATTTTAGGTACGTTTATTTTATTCGTTTTTGTTTTTGTTTCACAGCCACAACAAATACAATTATGTAGATTTTTGGGTGTCTTTTGTTTTTATTGTTTTGAATTTATTGCGCTCTGCAATTTGCCTGCTTCGTTAATTATTCGTTGTGCGAGCGAGCGAGCGGCGCAGCACTTGAATTTAATTAGCAGCAAATGCAAATTTATCAATTCACATTTTATTTAATTTTCATTTTGGACATCAATGCTTTAAATAATTTTTGCATTCAATTTGGTTTTGTATATTTTATAATCCTTGGCCTGCGCACGAGTTGAACAATTACATTAAAATGGTTCGATTTGTCAATACGAAATTGAAGCGAATTGAAAAGCGAGAAACTCAAAAATTCCGTAGGCCTACGTGCGACGCGTTCGAATGCGTTTAATGTTCTCATCAGACAGGCCGGTTTCTTGCGGTGAATGAAACCGAAAGCTCCCCCAATAATGGGGTGAGAGAGCGCGTGCCCGGCCAGTTAGTGAGAGCAGCAGAGCGTGTTGTCATTAAATATGGGCGAGCGGCAATGCGGTGGGCGATCACAACCTGGCGCGTGCAAGCTTCGTTGAAGCTTTTTAGCTTCTCTCTCTCTCTCTCTCTGTGGGTGGGTGTGTGTGTGTTTGTATGTTTATTTTCTTCTTTGCGTGCTGCGGCGATGCGCTCGCTATTTGATTTTTCTTTCTTATTGTGAGTTTTTGTGGCGCCGTCAACGCTGACAACGACGTCGACAGCGTGAACAGCTGTTCTCTGTTTTCGTTCTGACTGCCTGTTGCTCGCCCATTGACAGGTATAACTCTCATGACGGAAGAGACGAGAATGAAAAGAAAGATAACGAGAGAGAGAGAGAGAGAGAGAGAGAACACGACCCGAATCTCTGTATAAACGGTTTTATTAATAGCCCACCCAATGTAAAGTGGGGGAAATTTCGTAAGCTTACGATTTGGCAACAATGCAAACATACACAAGAAAATGCTTGGAAAGCCGCAAGAATGTTGCTATCAAAATGAACAACAACAAAAATTTTAATAAAAAATGACTGCAACTTAACGTAATGAGCTCAGGTTGAGAAATGCCTCATGAAATTTGTTTACGGCCAAGTTTTATTTTCGGTAGCAAATTAGATTTATGAGCTTTGCGGGAAAGCGGGAAAACCGTTGAAATATTTGTGGAACTTTTCTGCATTAGCGGATGGATGAATATCTAAGGCAAGGTTAAGATGCATTAAACAAGTGAAGAAGTGAAAAATGCTTTCTAATTCCAAGTCAATTCAAATGGAATTTAAATTTATAATTACAATTCCATTCATCTTTCGTTTATTACGAGTTTTTCAAATATGAAAGCTATTGTTCAGTAATACCCACATGCTCCAAATATTCTCCCATGATTATTGTTTCATTCACTACCTGAAATACGTAAAACTGTAAACAACGACAATGTTTTGGTTAACCTCACGTGATATTTCCCTATTTCCTGTGCTGCGAAACGCTTTTCAGTACCAACAAACAAATCCACAACAACAAAAGGTAAGGCAACTAAAATTGTTTTAATTGCCGTTTCCCATTCGCTGATTGTA